CTGTGATGGCGATGTTGACGTCATGCGACCTTGGTGTAGTTTGTTTCTAGCCTACTGTTAGCTTTTTACTTCTAGCGATTGCATTTAGGCTTTAAAAATCCATCCATCCATCCATCCATCCATCCATTTTCTAACTGCTTATCCTCTTGAGGGTCGCGGGGGGGCTGGAGCCTATCCCAGCTGACATTGGGCGTGAGGCGTGGTACACCCTGGACAGGATGCCAGACTATCGCAGGGCTGACACATAGAGACAGACAACCATTCACACTCACATTCACACCTACGGACAATTTAGAGTCACCAATTAACCTGCATGTCTTTGGACTGTGGGAGGAAGCTGGAGCACCTGGAGAAAACCCCCACTGACACGGGGAGAACATGCAAACTCTGCACAGAGGGGCTCCCACACCCGCGATCGAACCAGGAACCCTCTTGCTGTGAGGCGACAGTGCTAACCACCACACCACCGTGCCGTCCCGCTTAAAAAAAATCACAAAAGTCAAAATAATTTATGAAGATAATCTTGCTGAATAAAACGTCTCAGTATCACTTTGCCACAACTTATTTTCTGCAACAATCCAAAATACAATGGAAAAATCTCATTCACTTTTTCACGAGGGAATCAGGGTGACATCCATGTCGGCCTACATAAAAAGGTCATTCTTACATCACTCTATGACACAGAAATAAATACACTTAAGCTACTTTTTCCAGTAATACCTTGGTGCTTTGATATATCGGCTTGTTTTCTGTTTTTTATGAGGGTTGATATTTATCTCTGTGTGCTCAGAAGTGTTAGACAGGCTGGGTCGGGGCATGTTAGCTTGGTGTGGAAAGGCAACTGTATTCTACTCAAATTTTAGTTACTCTAAAATTTGCTAATTTACTATGTTGGGTGTTCTTAGCTAGCTTGCTAACGTTCAATATTCGCCATTGGCAAGCATCACAAACCTAGTTTTATAGATTTTGGTGGACGTGTATGAGGACAGAATGACTGTAGTGCTACATGATAACAGCAGGGCTAGCTAGCATTAAGCTAGCTGTTGATGGTCGGTAAACACCTCCAAAGTGTAGGCTGGTTGCTAACGAAAGTAATGTAAAGAGTAATGTAATTAATTACTTTTACTGTTGAGATATGTACTTGGTTTTTCAATGAGTGATATGTAGAGAGTAGTTAATTACATTTTTCGAGTAACTTGACAGCTGTTGAATGCCAACCAAGACCACTTTCATATTTCTTAAAATGACAAGGTTGACAACCAAGTGTTTCAGCCAGTCCAAAGTGTAGCATTTAAATCAGCTAACATGAGTAAACATATCTCTCTCTCCGTATTGACGGTTTAAAAAGCTCACACCATGACATCAGAAAGGATTTCAGCCCTGTAAGAATGACCTGTTCTTTTTCCTCTCCTCATCTCCCATTCACCAGCGTCAGCGAGCAGTCTGACATTTAAAAACTGAGGCCATAATAGTGAAGAATTATAGCTTCAGTTCTTAAATGTCAGGCACTCAAAAGGCACACACGCTGTAAACATTAGGCTTTCCTGTAGGCTCAAATGTCAACCTCTGCCTGATGATCGCCACGTGGAAATCAGATTGATCCTGAGACCCTGAGAGGGAAACTCAGTTTTACGTGTGCCTGCAGTCAGAGTTATCTTAATTGGCCCCAGCAGGGACCTTTGTACTCCTCATCCAGCCAGGCTTGGATGTTCCAATAGTTTTGGTGTCTGTCGGCTATGCTGGGATTGATTTAAGTGGCTCTGCATGTGTGTGTGTTATCAGGGCCTGATACATTGAAGAGGAAGTATTGGATGTACCAAGGCTCCTTAACGTCTGAGTGTCCTCTCTGTAGTTTTAATCACTCTTTTAATTGGCCTCTTTTTTCCTGAGGGTAAACTAGAGGTCTCATTTAGATTCTATGGCACATATTAATGCACACACTATGAACTGCCGAGTTATCCTCACTATTTCCAGGACACTGGAGCACATCTGAAGAGAGACCGCAGTGTTGTTCATCATGACAGTGTGAGTTTGCAAAGCTGGGTGACAATGGCACTTAGCTTTATGGCTCCACTGTTTATATTTGGATTCCCTCCTCGCAGCTAAATGACTGTGACAACAATGACTGTGACTGTGGCAACAACACCATCCAACACTAATGGCTCAGACAAACGGGAAACAGATGACATATTCTCCAAGTTATTTACATGTGTGACAGAAGAAAAGAGTTTAAACACAGCAGGTGGTGTGGTCAAGATTATAAGATATATTTGCAGTTTATGGTGTTAATGTGTTTTTATGTAGCAGTTGGTCATGTTTCACACTGTTTATTTTCGCGGCGCACCTCACAAATTTTTAGGAGGTTGAATGAATTTGGGAAATGAGACTCATTCTACTTCCGCACTCTCTTAAAAGCTGCTGTGGATCACAGTGTCATGCAGCTAAGTGCTTAAATGAAATGTGAACTGGTGCCTTAATTACAGGAGGGTTAGAGTAGAAATACAGAGAATGAATAACAGGACAACTGTGCCATCTAGTGGTGAGAAACCTTTACAGCACGTTGGATTTAATCTGATGTCAACCCCATCTGATTTCTTTTTTCTAAATCAGTTATTATACCATCATTAAAAGTAATTTTCACACATTAGCTAATAACATTCTTGCACATCTTCAAGCATCAGCTGGTGAATTGATATAAATATTGAACTGGGCTGCTATCCTGTCTGATGATGATGCAAGATCCACACCTTCGTTGTGATGTTATTATCTCCCTGACAAAATCTTGAATGTTGCCAAAACCATGGGTCCAATATGCATTGTTGAGAAGTGGTGATAGCTCCATTTTGCAGTAGCTTGCTGGTAGTTCAGTTGCATTCACATTTGCACAGTGATTCAAATAGTTTAATCACCTTTTTGCCATTTTTATAGTTAACTACTAAAACTACAAACAATTCTGGGCCATGAAAGAAACTGAATCCCCTTAGACCAGTACAGCCACCTCCATTTTTTTCACCCTGAGTGGTGATGGCATTTTCAGGCAATGCATTAGTCAGGCAGAATTAGTAAAACAAAACGTGATTGTCTCAACTATTGAGAGGTATTGATTATTACTATTTATTGACAGTTTCTTTTCCTTGTTAACGTTTTTTTGGGGGGGGGGAGTTTTTCCTTATCTGCTGCGAGGGTCCTAAGGACAGAGGAATGTCGTATGCTGTAAAGCCCTCTGAATAAAAATTGATTGATTGAAATGTTCAGAGAAGTTGTTACAGGCTATTTTAGAAGTTACCTGGCTAACTGAGTAATCCTGCTTGGCGCAGTACTCCCACCTGGACTCTAGTTTCTGAAGGCAGGTGTCTGACTGATAGACACTGTATACAAAACCAAAGCTGACTTTCACTGCACGTTCCCATGAATGGTGGGGATGTATGTATTTATTTATTTTTGATTTATGACCCCTAAACAAGTAGACACTTGTTGCAATAAACTCAGTTAAGTGGCATTTTTTGCTGCCATGTGACTTTTTTGGATTATATTTTGTTATAATTTTGTTTCACACACTCTAAAAAGTAATCTACTGGTTCAGGTTTAAAAAAGTAGGGTAACAATTTGATTGCATCTTTTTAAGTAGTTCCAAGTCTGGCATTATTGAGTCAGTCCTATGAGTCTTTTATAATCCCACAAAGTCAATTAGTTTAGTGCAACTACCATGATTTGCTTTGACCTCAAAAAACATAATTAGGTTGAACCAACTTAATATTTATCCAAAAGTTGTGGTGGTGTTTGAGTCAATCCACTCTACTCAAAAATGTCACAAATGCTTTTAAATTTGACCAACTTCTTAAAATAAGGTGTCAAGTGATTAAAACACTTACATGTAACAAACACATTTTTACACTGAAAACCACGTACCCCATGAATCAGTTTTTAGAGTGCATGTAAGCTGTCGATTTTATCTTTTTTTTTTTTTTTTTTTAAATAGATTGAACTACATTTTCTAAGTAGCTTCAGTTAAACAAACTAGATTTCTCCCTAGGCCAGCTTTGCTGTAATCCAGCTGCTTTAGTATGAAGTAACTGGACGCCTGCATAGATATGCTCTCAAAATAGCTTCCCCAACACCTTCCATATGAATGTTAGATTAACCACAATTAATCAAAGTAGCAAACTCCATTAAAAACACAAGCACCAATTAACAGCAGAGCTCAAAAACTTCTGATCCTGATGCAATCCTTACCACATCGCCAGCAAAACAACAGCACATCTAAAGCACACACATTCATACCATGAACAAACACACATACTGAGCGCTCTTACCTTAAATGTATTTTTTTACCCCTCACTTCCTGTTACTCAAAAGCAACCATAACCAGTAAAATCGCAGGCTTATAATTTTCTCATGGCAGACCTGGGATGGTGTCTATGTTTTCTTGATTCTGAGTTCATTTTTCATATTTCTTGAATATTAAAAGCTCACAAACTGAGTGACAAGTGAGTATGGCATCTTAAAACTTGCAGAATTATATGCTGATCTAATTTACAGGCCCTCTGGACTGCATCTTTATAGTGTTTTTATGATTTGATGTCTTGTTGTAAAAAATACTTTCCCGCTCAAGGTCCGTGAACACTAGCCTGGGCAGCCCAGACCATGCTGGTTCACAAGTGCTTGCACAAACCCAAATTATCTGCCACAGCGGAAACCTGCTAGAGGGTGCAAATATACTGCTGCCCTTTCAATGAGGTCCCAGACAGTAAGGTAATAAATAAATATAGGTACTTGACATTGAAGCTCACTGTGTAGTATAAGCTAAGACCTGGGAAATTTTGGAAAGGATTCAAGCCGTTGAAACATGACTTAACTACACTTTATCATATGTCTGCTAATCAACATACCACTCGATTAGTTATGTGATAAATGCCAGTGTTCTGGCAAATCAATATATGAAATCTCAGGTGTACTCATCCCTAATTTCTGTCTCCTTTCTCCTTCATTTGTCTCACCAGGTGGAACAGGAGAGAAGGACCGGGCACCAATCAGCCATGAGTCCTTCCTGCTCATGGCAAACTCCCAGACAGACATGGATGACTGGGTCAAGGCCATACGGCGGGTCATCTGGGCGCCATTTGGAGGAGGTAAAGTCAAACCTTTTGAACCAGAACACAAGAAAAACGATTAGAAACACAGCAACATTTCCATCCTCGAGTCTGTCTCATGGGAATGGGTGACGATTAAAACTCAAGGCTGCTCTAAAGCAAAATGTGGGCTGTGGGAAGCCTAAAATAACGACACACCAAAACACACAAGCGAGACTGATTGAGTGGAGCTACAGAAAGGACAGCGTACTACTTGTTCTTAACATTTTATTCAAATCTCTCATGCAGCCAATAATCATTGGAAGAAGCACTATCCTGAGACAGTTAGTCTTCATTCCCTTTCAGCCCTGTAGGCTTCGGAGATCTCGCAACACTTCTTGAAACAAGATATTGTTCCCGAAATTGGAAAAGACGACAGCCCACCTCTGTGGTCTGTCCATGTTATACTGTATGAGTTACACACTTGAGCCCAGACACGCAAAGTATCACCTACTCCTACTGTGTCTCATTTCTTTGGCCTGCAGTTAATTCTTACCCCGGTGTCTGTACACTGTACCTGACTGGGGAAATGTGATCAGAGTTTGCTGTCAATCTATCCCAGAAATTCAAAAATAGATGCTTCTGTTGGGCGCTGTTTGGTTTGGGTTTATTGGATCAAGGATCAGCAGAACACGTATGTACTGTACATGAATGATTTCAGATCCAGTCAGACTGAGTTTCTTTGCCTCCCACACAGTGTGTTCCTCCTCTCCACGCAGCAGTGAGCCTGTGGTTAATTCTCACCCTGTCTGCTCTGGTCAGCCTGTCTAACTAGTGTGCTTGACGGGAGGCCAGAAATATAACCAGGCCTGTCTGGGTGTGAACTGGGACATAAGGAGCAGCTGAACAGCACGGTATTGGGTTACAAAGGAGCTGTATATTAATAGGGGGATAAATGTAGAATAACACACCAGTGATACAGTGTATGACATCACTATTCTCATTTGAAACTTCATTTGTAATCAAGCAGCTTTAAGCTCTGTTGGCAGAGAGGGAACAAGGTTATTAGGCCACACTGATGTAGGATAATTACATAATGTAGAGAAAGGCTGTAGATTCTCATATCTAAGTAAGTGTCAACTAAAATATTTGGTATTTTAACTCAAAATTAGAAGTTACAAAAGAATATCCATATTTTTTGTATTAAGACTGAATCAATATGTCAAACTGCTGAACCCAACTCTGTAGCTAAGCTAAGCTTTTTAGCTTCTTTGAACTGCTTTGGTATTACGGCACATTTACTGTATGTCTAGCTATAGCCCCAGTTTGTGCTTCTATTACCTCCGCCAAGGAGGTTATGTTTTTGCCGGCGTTGGTCTGTTTGTTTGTTTGTTTGTTTGTTTGTTTGTTTGTCTGCAAAATAACTCAAAAAGTTATGAACGGATTTTGATGAAATTTTCAGGAAAGGTGGATAATGGGACAAGGAACAGATGATAAAATTTTGGTGGTGATCAGTTGAAGCAAAGTGGGCAAAATCTGATGCAGAGGGGGAGGGAATATCACCTACTTGGCGGAGGTCTACACTCTCTGAGTGCTTTTCTAGTTACTATTACATTCACAGAGCTATGCATTGTATTTTGCACCCAGCAACCTTTAACAACACTTAAAGGTAACTTTGGTATTTTTCAGTCTGAACCCTATTTTCCTGTGATTTGTGTCTGAGTGACTGATGGAAAGAACAATTTTTGAAATTAGTCATTTATTGAGTGAGAGGGCTCCAGTCAGCAGCCACAATACAGTCTGCAATGCAACAACTCAGGGCATAAGCGCATCATCAACTAAAAGTGCTTGTTTTTGCCACTGACAGGATCTGTTTGCCACTGTTGTTTTATTTTGTTTTTAAAATGGATGCTGGTGGGTTTGGCGAAGGCAATTTTAGGGCTGTTTCTAGTTAACAAAAAGGATCTGAGTCTTCAACAAAAAGGTCTATCTCTGTAGGGATCCTGTCCATAATGTTGTCAGACCTGAGCCCATCAGTGGCAAAAACAAGCACTGTTTATGGATGTAAATTAACAGTACGCTTCTGCCCCGAGTTGTTACGTTGTAGCCTGTTTCGCCGCTGCAGAACTCTCGTTCAATACTGGACCAGTTTCAAAAATTGTAGTTCCCATTGGTCACTTACGCTGCGTTCACATGGAATCAGGAAGATGGTAGCGACAAACCAAATGTCACTTCAGTGGAAAGAGCAGTATGGTAAAATAAGGTTAGGCTGGCACAGAGTACTAGCAAAGGTAATGGCAGACAGCACTGATGTCCAAAGCTAAAATAGTTTAACTTTTTACTGTCCTCTGTGATGAAATATACATCTGGATGTTACATACAGTAGCTCCCTCATGCAACAAGGAAACATTGGTGATCTGGACAAATACTCAACATAACTAGGAAACTTGCAATAGATAATAGAAACATGAATTTTATTCAACTTTTTTTTAGAATTATTTGTAAATAATGCAACATCCCCATCTCAACATATTGTCATGTGCATTTAATGTGCCATTCTGTTGGACTGTATTTTGTTTTTCCAGTGCGGCCAAGACGATGTTGTCCATCTGCCATCTATCATCTGCCTGATTCCACGTAAATAGAAAACACAAAAACATGAGAAAAAGGTTGAAAAGCAACGTATAACACTGTTCTGAAGGCATTACCTAAATTCTCACAGTGTCTTCTAACCATTTGCATTAAAAATAAAATAAAAAAAATCCTGTGGCACAATCAAAAGGATTTTCGACCTGTTCCCAAAGTTGTGACTCTGTTTCCTAGTCCAAACGAAGGTGGTAGCCAAAAATGACATGATGTGTAATTGTTTGTATGCTGTGGACCAAAACTGAAAATATTTTTCTAATAGTTCAAGTCACATATGGCATATGTCATATGTTTTTTTTCCAAACATCTGGTATTTATTTTTTTGAATAATGGATACTAGTGTCTTGAATCCAATGTAATGGTTAAACTATATACATGAGAAGTACAAACAGGAGCTAAACAGTTGCATGTCAACTTTATATGGCAATCATCCCTCAGGGCTATGTGTCTGATGGTGTCTTCCGTCCCATGGTTGCCAAAATTTGGTTAGTTAATCATGTAGACCTAAATACTGCTACAGGTTTTGAACCAGGGTTTGCTTTTATAAACTTACAAATATTGTAATGATAATAATATTGTGGTAACTTAATTTTATTATTTATGGTCCAGTTGTTGCCTAGGTGGAGGTGGGGTGGGGGACAAGGGTGTGTGGGGCCCCTAAATCCTAGCTGCACCCCTGTTGACAGGTGTCATGGCCTACATTTCTCTCTCAGAGGGGGGCGGACGCATCAGAATCAGCAACATTCACATCTAAAGTTTGGTGCTATCCGCCGGGTTACCTCACACAGGCTGGCTCATGTTTCCAGCCTGCCTCTCACATTCGCAGGGTATGGCTGTCTGTCTCTCGGCTCTCGGTCCAGAATAGACGTGTCGCCAACTTATAGACCCGTCGTTAACAGCAGCACCGCGGTCACAGCTCTCTGACCCCCGTCAGCTGCCGTCCGTCTGAACACATCCGCCTTCTTCTTAAGCTACAGCTCGTTTCCGCTGTCCGGTAGTTCAGTAGGTGTGAGTTTAATCCGTCAGTGGAGTCAAATGCCTGAACCGGAATGGATAAACTTGGTGAAATGTGGCTTTGGGATGTATGAGAAACGCGCCCTGCTGCTGTGCAGCTCCTGCTCCGTGAATTACTACGATTACTGGGAGCTGTCTGCCAGCTGCGACTGCTGCAGCCTGTCCGCAGGTAACAACCAGGCACTGGATCGCTCATTAGACACGTTCAACTGTCAGCTGTGCCTCCAATTAGCTAGTCATTTTACAACAATTACTTTTTTTTAATATATGTAATTTAACTTTATTGAAAACAATGAATAATACAAAGTCAGACATCATAGTAGGAGAGTCATTTTAAAAAAGTGACTGACTAAAATTGAACAGTTATGTAAAGGGGGTAGTAGTAGACAAATTGTTATTCACATGGTCAAGAGACTTCATTAGAATAAAAAATATATCAAAAAACTATTTAACAGGGGGGTGATTTTCCAAATTTAGATGTATGTATAGGAGATCTACCCAATAGGATGAGGTTTGTCATAACATTCAATTAATTAACACTGCTTTCAAAATAAAAAACATATTTGACATTGGATTTCACAGTGACCAGTATTTATAAAAATATATGAAAAATATATGTTCTCAAGTGAATATAATGTGAAAAACTATAAAACAAATGTACCATTGTTTCAGGTTCATTGTTGCAAATTGTACATTTTTCAACTAAATCAACAAACCTTGACACCATTACATTAGAGAGGTAGAAATTGTTCAACACTTTAACATGTATTGCTCTAATTTTGTTAGAAATACAGAATTTAAACTTTGCCTTCTGCCATTCAATGCCGCATATTTGTGAGTTTCACACTGATTTCCCTTTTGGCAAGTTTTTCATTTTAGAAGAAAAACATTGCCTTGCATGTTCATCGGTACATTTAGAATTTTTATTTTCTATCCCATTTAAAAGTAACACAGATTCTATTCTAAGTGTATCTTGGCAAAATGTGTTTTTGTTTTGTTTTTTGTTTTTTTTATTAACTGGCATAAACCTGTGGAAATGGCCTCAACCACAAATCTAAATTCTCTGTAAGTCATAGGAAAAGCTTTCACCTTTGGTTTCATAGCCTAATAAATGGCCACTACTATCAAATACATCAGTAACAAAGATGATACTTTTATCTATCCAACACTGCAAGAACAGACTCTTGTTTTATAACAGTGATAAGTGAAAAGTCATGTACAAAACAAGTTGCACATTTTATAATTTAAGGGGTAGTTTGGCGAATGTGCGATTGCATACTTTCAACAATAACTTTTTCTTTACTTTTCTTCGCATTTGCATCACTGAACCATTTCTTAATAGACTATTTTGGACCAACAGGCAAATTTTAGGCAGATATGAGGATTATGTGTATACTGATTCAGTCACAGGTTTTTATATCCTTGCCCACTGAGGGTTACTTAAAAGTCTGTGCCAAGTCATTCATTATATAATGCAAATATCTTAATAGATTGGGTCTCTACAGCATTAAGTAATGGTGAAACAGTATTGTGACTGGGGGTCCTTGATATAGGCTTAAAAAATGGACAGTAATAGGCAACAGTACACAATACAATAGGCATTGTTCTAGCTTTCAGATATTCTGTCACATTCAAGATTTAAGATGATATAAAGTGATGCTGCTTGGCATGAAAATTTAACTTTAACAAACTATAAATTTAAGATATCTCTTTTTGTTCCAAATTTCATAACAGCCTAGAATACTCATGTATGCCCTCAGTGGATGCATAAATAAACATGACAGTGCAGAAAATGCTTGTGAATGCTGAAAGGTAAAAACAAATTGCAAGCATTGCTGTAAATACAGCAATCTTCAAGCGCAAATCCACTGCACTGCAGAAAAACCTGGAAGCTGAAATGTGAAACTTGCAGAGTTGGAAGTTGAAGAACTGCAATACATTGCGAGAAAAAACTGGAAGCTAAACTGAAATACTGTTAAAGGTGGGAATTGAAATTCACTGAAAAGGCTGAAAGAAGAAATGCTTTGTATTTTTAAACTTGTAAAAAGTAGGAAAAAAATACAAGCATCATAACATTTTGATATTTTGAGGTTTCTGTAAAAAAAATGCATAGAAAAAGTATATTTACTTAGTGACTTGTTTAAAAGTTAAACGTACATAAAAGTTTGGGCAGTAGAATTTCAAATTGGACTAGACTGAAGATTTGAACTATTGAACTATTGAAAATTAAATTATCATCCAGGGGCTTTTATTTTGAAAACTCATCTTTGTCTGATCATCACGACCATGATCTGATGAACATAAACAACAAAGTATGTTTCCTCTATCTGTCCCCAGGGATATTTGGCCAGCGTTTAGAGGACACAGTGCAGTATGAGAGGAAGTTTGGCCCCCGGCTGGCCCCCCTGCTGGTGGAGCAGTGTGTTGACTTCATCAGGGAGAGAGGTTTGGACGAGGAGGGTCTCTTTCGCATGCCGGGACAGGCCAACCTGGTCAAAGAGCTGCAGGAGGCCTTTGACTGCGGGGACAAGCCTCTGTTTGACAGGTAGGACAGAGAGGAGTGTTACAACCAGCTTTCTGAGATGTAAATGACAGAACATCCAGTTGACATCTCTCTTTCTGTATTCTCTTGCAGTAATACAGACGTCCACACGGTGGCATCCTTGCTGAAGCTGTACCTGCGAGAGCTGCCTGAACCAGTCATTCCCTTCTGCAAATATGAAGACTTTCTAACCTGTGCACAGCTTTTGGCCAAAGACGAGGAGGAAGTATGTGCAGTATACTCTGTGTTTGTGTATTTATCTATGTGAGTGTGTGTCTAACAATTGTTCAATCTTATATCAGGGGGTCCAGGAGCTGGGAAAGCAAGTTAACACTCTACCTCTACCTAACTACAATCTCCTCACCTACATATGCAAGTAAGTATATTATCTGGTAATGTCACCAGTTTTCAAGAACGATGTGTGTTTCTAACGTTGTTATCTCTGCTTAGATTCCTCGATGAGGTCCAGTCCCACTCCAGTGAGAACAAGATGAGTGTCCAGAACCTCGCCACAGTATTTGGACCAAATATCCTTCGACCCAAGATGGAGGACCCAGTCACTATCATGGAAGGTATGGCTGATGATCGCTGACGAAATGACTGCATTCATGGTAAAAGTCACAACAAGTCACATTACACCTTGTACTGTCAGTAAATATATGTATCAAACTTGCTGGATGTGCAGGATAAAAACTGATCTCCTGTCTGTGATCCACAGGCACCTCTCTGGTCCAGCACCTGATGACAATCCTCATTAGGGAACACAACCGCTTGTACTCAGGAAGGGACCAGGAGGGACCCACTGCACCCCAAACAGAGCTCCCTGTCCAGGGTCATCAGCTCCAGCATCGCAGCCTGGGCGCCTGGATCTCAGAGGAAGACCTCCAGAACTGCCCGGTGTCCAACCCTGACCAAGAACTGCACAGCAGTGCCTCATCTCTGGATGCCAAACTGTGTGCAGCTGTCACTCCCACCCAGACCCCTAACCTGAACCCTGGACCAAAACTGGGGTCTCCATCAGGGAAAGGCGAGACGGTGGTTAGCCCGAGTAAACAAGCCAAGTCCATACCTTCCTGGAAATACTCTTTCAAAAGCTCTTCGGCTCCTCGTTCACAGCCGCAAGGCAAGCAAAGCAGTGGTGGTGGCTCTGCGGCTGATGTGACTAGTGTATCATCTGGTGGGGGTGGAGGTGGGAGTGGAGGTGGAGGTAACTGGCTCATGAATGGTTTGTCCTCCTTGAGGGGACACCGGCGCACCTCATCAGGCGAGCGGTCCGCCCGTGATCGTGACTCCACGGGCTCTTCACAGAGACTGTCCACCTATGACAACGTCACCTCTTCCTCAAGCATGGGGAGCGTCCCAAGTGTCTCCAGCACACCTTGGTCCACTTCCTCCTGCGAAATCTCCGTCCCCGACTCGGGAAGTGAACCCTCACCAAACCAGAACTGTGGAGTAGGGGGTGAAATTGGGGAAAAAGGGGAGTGGATGGAGAGCCAGAGGGAGATTGACAGAGGAAGGGATGGAGGGATGACGACAGACCCGAGCTCTGAGCAGGACAGTTGTGAGGCCATGGAGCTGTGCAGTAGCAGCGCAGCCTGCAGTGAGAATGGAAACATGGCCATGGCGGCCGGGGTGCCATCCATCATTATGTCTGAGGATGGGGACGGGACAAATCTAACATTGAGCTGTCTGGTGGAAGGACTGAAGGAAGAGTTGAGGAAACAGAAGACTTCATACGAGGCCAGGATCCAAAAGTAAGTCTGGGGGTTCCCAAACTTTCAGTCACATGTATGTAGATTCTCTCATGGGGCTCGTTTGTCCCCAGTCTGGAACCACTCTGCTCTACGGTAGAAACCAGCTATCTTTTTTGTCACTGAGCCCTATCATGTGCTAGACCCTTCCCTTCAAGCTTAAAAACACTGGATCCAATAATTCCCATGGTGCAACTCAATAGCATCTTTTTATTAGAGCCTCCCTGCCTGGTGGATGTCCACAGCTTTCAAACTCCACACACCCAGTTTGTAACGTAGGCTTTGTGTTAAATTGAAGTCTGTAAGCTGTGACTCTCCCTGGAGCTACAAATATTTTTCCTTGAGCCTCCCTTAGCGACTGGGGGAAAATGTACGACCCTCCCTCCCCAGTAACCATATTTTTTTAATGTTCATACCAGATGTAGGTATTAGAGCCAATTCAATGAACAAACAGCGCAGAGGGATTTAGAGTTATCATCAAAACAAATGGCTAATTTCCTGAGCAAAATGCAAATACAGAATATGGGTGCATGACAGCCACCAGTCCTACCACACAAAACCAACAAAATCTAATAAGAAAACACATCAAACACACAGCACACACAGCCAGTATTAATAAACCGTAACATGCAACACTGACTGCAGTGCCCTGAATAATATCAGTAATTTAGCATGGCAGCCATTATCAGATTTTAAAAACGTACCCTTTGAGGCTGAGTTGAAAAAGGCAAAGTTAAAATTTGAAAAACAAAATCTTGGACACTTTTTTGCCAAATGTAAATAAAAAAATAAATAAATTAAAAAAATAAAGTGATTTTGATAAAATATCACTATTTTCAGCTTAGATTTGGTGCCTGAGGGTGTTTGCCTCACATGATGTGTTCAAGGACTGTTGGAAATTTGACTATCCAACAATATTTTCTGTTTTTTTTTTTTTTTCAGTTCCTGGCTTTAATAAATGATGTAATTTTGGTAATTTAAAAGAAAACATGCCTTTAAAACTAGCTGGCAGGTTTTGGGGTTCAGAGGGTGTTTAAAATAAATACAAAACACAACCATTTAACATTGTATGCCTCTCCCACAAGCCAAAATAACCCATGCATCACCCCCCTCCCCATTTGTAAGTTACAAACAGTCCCTAACCACAATTAACCTTTTCCTTCTCTCTCAAACCTTAGTTTGAACGGTTGTCATTGTAATTGTTTAAAGGTAGAAAGTATTTCTGATGAAAATTGTACAAAGACTTATTTTTTACGTTGTCTTAAAATACTTTGAGCTTTCCAAAAGAATTGCCATTGAGATATCTCCAAATATTACCAAAACTACCTGAATGCTTAGACATCAATAGAGGTGATGGTGATTTTAATTTAAGACCTACAAGATGGTTGCATTTCTATGGGAAAAAACAACTTGCAGAGTGCAGTTTAAAGTTTTGCCTTAATAACACCAAAGCATTTCAAAATGTAGCCCAACAGTAAAGGTGAATGTCAATGACCTCTGCCTTCTGTCTGTGATGTGTTTCATCCCCTCAGACTGGAGGAGTCCAGTGCTGCTCTGTGTGCACAGATGGAGCGTTTGGAACAAGAGATGGAGCAGGAGAGGAAGAAGCAACGCATGCTGGAGATCAAACTACGCAACTCGGAGCGGGCGCGCGAGGATGCAGAGAACCGCAATCGGCTGCTGGAGAAAGAGATGGAGGATTTCTTTTCCACACTGGGAGATCTGGCCCTGGGTGCGAGGACTAGTGACATTTGATACGGCATCTGTCTGTGGCCAAAACTGTCAGGGTTTGTATTTTGGGATATTGGGTGTCTTCTCAAGGGCTCATGTCCTCCTCAGTGTATCAGGGCGTTCCTTCAAAAGAACATTAAAACAAGGAAATAAAGGAACCCGCCATAGTCGTGTGCTATCAGGATAAACTCAAAGGGAACTGAAATATGGAGATGGCAGCGGAAATTAGGGTGCAGATATGAAATGAGGACTGACTGTGTGGTCCTCATCAGAATCATCTCCATTGAGCACTGAGTGGTTTTGAGTTTCTGTCGCATGCTTGAAATGGAACGTTAAGATGATGGCGCTCTTGTGATCACACTCCTTGATGAGTCCAGGGTTTGTCTTGTGAAGGCAGTATTTTAACAGTTCAGGTGCCTGTATGTGAATGGTGTAACATAATGAAACTTCTCTGACATTCTCTTTACTGGAGAGCACTGACTTCTTCAACCACTAAGGACATGACATGAATGGATTTCATGCTGAAACTGTATGACTCATAAGAGATGTTAATGATAATGCAGACAGTTGGCTGATATTTATCTATATCTGATATTTATCTTTAAGGAATAGTGCTACATTTGGGAAATACACTTTGCCTTTTTGTTGAAAGGTGGATGAGAAGTTTGATTCCACTCTCATGACTGTAGGATTAACATGAAGCTACAACCAGCAGCTGGTTAGCCTAGCTAAATATAGAGTGACAATAAAAGCAGGGAAAATGCTAATCTAGCACTGTCCTTTTTGAAAATCTGTTAACCAATAGGAATGGGCATTTGATGGAACTTCCATTTTCGACAACTTAGATTAAATTATTATAGAGTACTTGTGAGAAAAATCTAATATAAGAAAAGGTACGTAAACTGGCCAACAATGGGAAACAAGCGCAATTTGAAATGTATTTATTTAACGGAAAGGCCTCTATCAGCCTTTAAATTCAAAGTTGACATGACATGAAATCAGCAAACTTTCTATCACTGTTCGCTAACGTTACATAGATTAGATGCAGTGCTGAAGGACTGTCACTGAGCTGCTGTCCTCCTGGCTAGCACAAGCTAACGCAGCAGCAGCGGCTAACACCTGATACCAAGCAGTTTAACAGTCCCAACATACTCAAAACAACACCGAAATGCCTGTTCTGTTGATAACCATTAGGTAATGTCAGCCTAGCTGTGTGATGCTAACAGTTAGCCCTGTCACTGTGTGTGTGTGTGTGTGTGTGTGTGTGTGTGTGTGTGTGATGACGGATGATCGTATCCACTTACTGTTACTGCACAGAAATGAAGCCAAAATATCCCAGACACAGCCACTGCCATCTTGTGCTGGTGATGTCATTTGGAGCCAGAGTCTGCTTAGTAGTGATCTCCGCTATGTCGAGTTCCCACCTACCGCCCATCTGACCAATTGGAAGCAGCACCATTGATCACGAGCACACTTATTGGCACACAGAGTAGTCAATCATGACATCAAACCCAATTTTTATAGTTAAAATTACTAATTAAAACCAAACGTCTTAAAAAAACAAACACTTGTACTTACACTTGTAAGTAAGAACTACCTAAAATACCTAAAAAAAATTCTTTGGGGAAAGATGGTTTGGCTTAGTTTGGCTCATGTCCCATTTGCTAACAGGGAGGGGGCGGGGTTTATAACCTGTACTGCAGCCAACCACCAGGGGGCAATTGCATTGTTTTGGCTTCATTTTTAGGGAGCTGTCATGTCATCCATCTTTTTTATACTGTCAGTGTTTAATATGTACAAAAACAAAATGTATTAACTGTCTCTCCCCACTGTTTTCTACCTCCGTGTTGAGCTAGGCTAACCAGCTGCTTGCTGTAGCTTCATATTTATGCTACAGTCTTGAGAGTGATATCAATCTTCCCATCTAACTCTCAGCAAGAATGGAAATAAATGTATTTCTTTAACTTAAAGGTCAGTTCAGTCAGATTAAAAAACACCATATTTCCTCACATGCCTGTAGTGGTGGCTAGCTATGCTAACTGCTTTATTTTTAGCTGGGCTTTGAAGTTACAAAAGAGTTCTGTGAAATAGCCAGAATAACATTCTTAGTTTTTCTGAAAGAGATGTTGCTGAATTGGAAATTTTTTAAATGTTGTTTTAAATGCTGTGATAAACAACATACAAATCACCTCCATTTGTAAAGTTGGTTGCAAAAACCTCATACCCTGGCTATTTTTAAAGCTGTGCAAATTATACTTAATTATTTGCATGGCTAGACACCACAAGGTGTAATTGAGAGAATATGTTTTAAGTAATCTGAGTGAACTGACTGTTAAACTGTACAGCGGTAGCTTTAGCAGAAGTTCTCCCACTTGCGTTTATCCTCCTGTCCTGTATTTGTTCTGCAGACATCTTTTTTTCTTGGGTGTTTTACTGTAAAATCAAATTTGTACATTGTAATAGACGCAGGTTTAGGACGAGAAAAAACTGAAGCAGTAATAGGTGGAACCTCTGCAACAGCTGCCTCTGTACCTTCTTTTTCCTCAGGCTCTTCCAGTGCCTCTACACCACGTCACCATCTGCATGGTTTCCATGTCCACTTGATGGCAAAGCCTCAGCCTTCGGTTCACTCCGACCCTCACAGATGTCAATATACCTTTAATGTACAGATAATACAACAGGGACAATGGAAACAATTATTCAAGCATTTTCAACTTAGCGCATGCTGCCTCGGACACAGGACACGTGGCTCAGTAGGTGAAGGCCATTTACAGTACACAGTTAATACCAAAGCTGGACCGCCTCAGCTGTTCGCTCACTAAAGATCAGAATGGCCTGCCTGGAAGCCATGTTGATTTTGGCACATGAAGCTGAACACTGCCCTCAAAGAAACAATGGAATTTCCTGGTTGTGCCTTCAGGGAAGTGTTTTGAAATAGGAAAAATGTAGTGTTGCTTGCTTGTCCAGAGATGTAGTGAATATATTCGCCCATAGTACACACAGTGGCTGCATTGTTTGTTTTTTTATTTTTTATTATTATTTTTTTTTAATATGGCAACAAACTGCTGAATAACTTGATCTCCCTAGAAGGTGCCAATTCTTGTGAAAGTGAATTGTGAATTGAATGGAAGTTTTGAATTAAGAATGTATCCTTGTAGTGAATGTAATATGTTGTTGATGAAACCAGCCCTATGAAAAAAAAAAAAAAATGTAAACGACTACCAGTGCAGGAAAAAAAATTATAGTCACTGAAGATGTGCAGTTCATCCAGCTCTTCAACCCACATCCCTGACCCCAATCATCCTACTTTAATGCTGGACATGTGATGTAATATGGGATGTATCACGCAGACTTACATCATGTCAGGTAGCTGTGATGTGTTTAATGGCTCTGCTCCATTGAACACTGAATTATGTGTCCCTAAAATGAAGAGTTGCAGATATCTCTTTTGTGAGAATTGCATGTGATCCCGCTGTTGAACATGAAAATGTTTTTTTTTTAGCATCTTATCACCAATCAGAAGAATGTCCAGAAGGGTTTTTTCTTAAAGAGCCTGACAAACAGTATAATTACAAGTGAAAGTATGCTTTTGGTTAGACAATGTGACTGTATTTTCTTTTTATATTTTATGTATAAACATCAAGCCAATGTTATTACATTACCCTCTTTAATTACACAGGTTTAAAAGGTACTTGTCCTCCAGTTCACAATATGATGGTTCAAATCTATTGCAGGTTCTCTGATTCCAAGGGGCAATTATTTCCCTTTATGTGTGTCTCATGACTAAGGCTAAATGTTTCTTACTGCTCTGCTGATTATCTATGGTGCTTATTTATTATGGATTTCCACTATTGTAATGAATGGACATGTATGGGAATAAAGGTGACAAAGAAAAAAAAAGTTGTTATATCTGGGAAATTTGACATGACAGATCGCATGGAAGCGACCCTTAAACATCCTACAAAACAGTGCATCTTGCTATTATTCTGCTTTTGTAGACTGAATTCAAATGCTGCCCTCCCTTGCCCAAATACTGGACACTACCAGTATAGCCTATAATATCCAACAATACATTGTGCAATGAACCATTGGGCTATGGTTATTTGCCAGAAATTGGTGGATTGACCCCTCTGGATAGGGAGAGAGTTACTGCCTCAAGTGAGGGAGTTCAAGTATCTTGGGGTCTTGTTCACAAGTGAGGGTTGAATGGAATGCGAGATGGATCGGCGGTTTGGTGCGGCTTCTGCAGTGTTGTAGGTGCTGTGCCGAACCATCGCTGTTAAGAAAGAGCTAAGCTGGATGGCAAACCCTTCATTTACTGGTCCATCTACGTCCCAACCCTCATCTATGGTCATGATCTCTGGGTAGTGACCGAAAGAATGAGATCGTGGATACAAGCGGCCGAAAATGAGTTCCCTCCATGGGGTGGCTGGGCTCAGCCTTAAAGATAGGGTAAGGAGCTCGTACATCGGGAGGGAGCTCGGAGTCGAGCCGCTGCTCCTTAGCGTGAAAAGGGGTCAGTTGAGGTTATTTGGGCATCTGATCAGGATCCTCCTGGGTACCTCTCCCTGGAGGTGTTCCATGCACGTCCCAATGGTAGGAGGCCCCTGGGCAGACCCAGAACACACTGGAGGGATTACATATCTCGTCTGACCTGAGAACGCCTTGAGGTCCCCCAAGAGAAGCTCGAAAGAGTTGTTGGGGAGAAGGATATTTGAGGTGCTTTGCTTGGCCTGCTGCACCCACGACCCGGCCCTGGATAAGCGGATGAAAATGGACGGATGGACATTGTGCAACAGTCAATTGTTTCATTTGGAAATATGTGTTAATTTGTATTCACCAGGTATTTGCAATCAGGTGGTCATTCTGCCTCCAACTTCCCTGCTCAGTGTGTGGCACATTTGTTCATACTGAAGACAGATTATTAAAACTGTCACTAATGTACAATCTAATTTTTTTTGAAAAGACTTATGAATTTTTTTGAAAAGTTGAGCACTGTAGCTTTTAGCAAAATTAAACAAAAAATAGTTAATGCAAGTTTTCAGCTGGACTATTTAAAGCGGCAGACTAATACACAGCACATTCTAAACATCCTGTTCAAGAATTTAATGTTCCAATTCAGTGAAGCAATTTTTTAATTTAATCATCAGGTTGTGATGGTGCCATCAAAATGCTACTCAATGGTATACAATGCAGGATTGACAGTAACTGGTTGGGAACACGCTTGCCAGCAAAAATGAAAGTAAAAGCCAACCCCAGTTTCACACATTTGCCGTTTCGCCTCACTGTATTTGCATTTTTTGTGGTGCTGTGTCTCTGGGATGCTTGCTGCTTATGGGCCAGCACCTGGTTGCTACCTTTTTATAAAACCCACACCTCACCTGAGTGCTGTGGTGGGGTACACGACCATAAACGTTTCGAAAATAAAAATAAAAATAAAAATATACCTCCACACACTTCTAGTGGGTAATAAGTGATGACCGAGGGGGATAACTTCCGTATGAGTCTAGCAAAGTATACCTATAGCTGTACTGATTACATTGTATGCAAGGCAATGATCGTTTGGCAACTTGTAAAAAATGAGGACATACAACCATAAATCAAAGTGTATTTCTTTTATTTGCAGTACATGTTTTTTTTCTTAAGAGGTGGCATCATCAGATCCCAGTGCATGTATTCTAGTAGTGCACTTCTTCGTTGGTTGCGGTTTTTGGGACGCGCAGATCCAGGAATTCTTAAAACTACTTGCATGGCTGGATTCACTAGCAAACATTACAAACCAGCACCATACATATAATGATTTCTTGTAGGTATTTACTCATCTTTTTTGTGTTTATTAACATTATTGTCCTTACCACATTCCAAATCAAAAGCTGTTGGCCGCGCTGTGACTCAAAGAACTTTCCGTCTCTGCATCAAGCCTTGGCCAACAGATTAGTTTGGCAGGTAAGACTGATTACGTAACATCATGACTATAAACAAGTCACAGAAATAAAAATTGATCTTATTCATAAAAAAGGAAAACATGGATTGACAGTACCAAACATTTTCTTTACCTTCAGGAGACAGCTAACAAAGGCTAGGCCCATCACACACTACTAGCACAGTTTGCTGAAGGTATTGCACATTTAGTTTAAAAACAAAAAACAAACCGAGAAAAAAAAAAAAAAAATACATATAACAATTCTCTTACTTCTAGGTGAAGTATACATAATGTACAAAACTAGAAGTCTGTTGAAACTGACAAATAGTACACTTTCAAATAAATAAATAATGGAATCTGTTATTCACACGTCTTCGATAGCTAATTCTGCAGGCGACTAAGTATATGCAAGAACTGGCAGAAATTCAGCGTGAGGTAGTTCATCAAAGCCGACTTAAATCAGAATGACATTGTTTGGAGAGATGCGGTAATTATAAAAAAGCAACAACAACCTAAGAAGAAGAAGAAGAAAAACATAACAAAATACTCCAATTAAAGCCCCTAATGTTGGGCTACGAAAATTAAGAGCACTTTAGACAACATATTTTTTTCTGATTGATTCTTTTAGCTAATATAACAAATGGGCTAATATGACGCATGGATACATACCACTGATATTTTCCCTGCCATCGCTGCCTTCTTACAGATGTCTAAGTCATTGTTTGTCAAAACACTACTGTACATTTACTGCTGGACACTTTAATTTTTTGCTGTTGGAATCTACAACTACTGTCTGACAATACACTTTACTGGCCAAACCTTTCCTTTAAAACTCTGGTGACTAGAAAAGAGAGCAGGAGCCAGTGGCACCAGCTGTTCGTAAGTTCAAACTTACTGTAGTTATTAACCATTAAGTGTTTACAAAGTAGATATATACGCATCACAAAATTAAAATGGGTTGCACCCTATCAACTAGTTCTTTCGTAGAGCTAACATTAGCTTGCTAATATATTAAATGTTAACTGCTGTGCAGCTAACTGACAAAGCTTTCATTAGCTTGCTGATATATCAAATGTTAACTTGTGTAACTTAAATCAGTGTCAAAGTTACAGTTTGCTTGGTAATTTATTAAATGTTTACTGTTGCGTAGCTCAGTGCCAAAGCTAACATTTGCTTGCTAATTTATTGAACATTAACTGTTGTGTAGCTCAGTGATTAAGCTAACATTTGCTTGCTAATTTATTAAGCATTAACTTGTGTAGCTCAGTAAAGAAGCTAACGCTTGCTTGCGGATATATTCAATGTTAATTATTTTGTAGCTCACTGACGGAGCTAACATTAGCATGCTAATTTGTTAAAAGTTAACTATTGCGTAGCTCAGTGACGAAGCTAACACTTGTTTGTTGATATATTTAATTGTTTTGTAGCTCAGTGAAGAAGCTAACGCATGTTTTCTGATATATTAAATGTTAACTGCTGCGTAGCTTAGTGGCAGCACTAACGCTTGCTATTCTATTACCCATTTAGATTGAAGAGTAAAAGCGGTAATGTTACATGGTCAATACACTTACCATACACTTGATAAATTGCTGTTTAATAATGACGTAAACTGGGAAGTTTTTAAAATTTAAAATAAATTCCACAAAATTGACAAAAAAATAACATAAAAGTACAAAACGTTGGGCTAATAATGTTAGACTGAAAGACCAAATAAAACTGAGGGTAGTAGTGTATTGAGACATTTCTCACTTATTCAAAAATGTATGGATATTAGTAATTCAGAAACACACATACGTCTCTATGTATGCATATATAAATAAAACAACGTCATATCTACATTTACAAAGGATTGGCAGTTGCATTTACTATATTGTTTGTTTGTTTTTTCAATTAAAACCGTCAAGTTTGAAAGTTATGTTATAGTTTGTGATGCTGACTGATTATGATCAGATGACAACTAGTTTACCCATTGTTGAGGTTTTTACTGGATAAAGCATACTTTAAGTTTTAATGGGGCAACCCGATTTACTAAAACATTAGTTTGAAACTAGCTAGTTGTTACTAAGAACTTAGGAATGACACACTTAATAATGGATTTACGAATAGCTGGTGCAAGTCCAGAAGTTGATAAGGAGACAGTGCTGCAGTATCTGAAAAATCATGCCGTTAAGTAAATGGTTACTTGTGGTTTACCTGTGTTTAGCCTTACATATCTGGCAGATGGTAACTAGTTGCTGCAGTAGAGCACAGCACAGAGCACACAGCGTGTCATGCTACAGTCTAAAGACAACCTTGTTTGCAACTTTGATTTGAGCTTAACGTCCTTATCAAAGACTGGGACAGGTTCTAGACACAGTGCTGTTACACGTTTAAACAATCCTTGCACAGGGATGTTTGTGCCAACATCCACCACACTTGCTCATCCTCCATGACAATACAGTACATCCCAGCTCTGCTTCTTGCAGATAATTTTAGTTATGCAAACAGTTCAAGCAGGCAGAATGGCTGCATGAAACCTCAATAAATTGAGCAAAACAGCATGGACTCCTTTGTTTTTTTCACTTAAGACCATGATATTCATGATGTTAAAAAGTTACACAACTTGCCTAGATAGCTCTTAGCTAATATGGCTTTTTTTTTTTTTTTTAAATTGACTTACTATAGTTAGAGCACTTTTTCACTTAGTACCACAAGGGTTACTTTGAACTTAAAAAATGAATTAGCCAGAAACACTGTGGTCGTTTGGCTCTGCCTCTCAGATGTGTGTTTGTAACTAAAACATCAATCTGCAATTCCAACAGTAAACAGTATCCAAAACCATCGCAAAATACTGACAAAAATGCAGCCGCAGAGTTTCCTCATTTAGTTTGATCCAGTAGTTGAATTTCAAAACATCCTGTTCGTTCTTCTCTCTTACAACCATCACATTAAATTAGTACTCAAAGAAAAGCCAAAGAACTCTTACTAACCTATATTTCGGTTGCTGTCACTGCAAAGAAACACTTCTTTTTACTTTGATGAAAGACCTTGATAAAACTGCCTTTTCTTCTGAAATGACTCAAACATGTGCTTAAGCATCTCAACGTATACATCATCACCTTCTTACCCTGCAAGACACGATGGTCTCCCGCTCGAGGGTCAAAATCAAAACAAGTAGAAAAATATACAATACATTTGTGAGAACTACAACCCCATCATTCATTATTGGTTTGATAATGGAAACTACCGTTGTTAACCAGACGCCATAAAAACCTACACGTAATGAATACCCATGTACTCAGGAATGAATGACAAACAACAGGCACTTTTCCTTTCAATGCTAAATAAAAAAAACTCAAAAAAAGGGCACTATTATTGCATACCGAGAATAATTTGTTTTTCTTTTGACTCTGGTTATTTGTGCTGCTAAGTTTTAGGTTCTTTTTTTACAACTGCAGGCAAGTCTGGTATGCAAAGTGTTATGCCAACTTTTTAAAAAAATCACTCGCAATTTTCCAAATTCACAAAAGTACATTACTAATAACAGGATCTGGTAGAAGGAAGCTGACATGTTTTCACACTCTCCCATCAGGCTGCAGAATCACTTCCCCTCTGAAACACCCAATAGCGACACGTTCACAAGCGTTCTCAAAATCACAATTCCCTACTTGACTGAAGAACATTCTACTTACACCGTCACCAATTTTACAACCTCACACAACTCATCTACGTCTCGATAAACCTCCCAAAGCACGACAATAAACATTCCGAACTGTTAGCAATAGCTCACTGTCAAAGCAAGCCAGTGGAGAACATGAAAGAGCTCCGTGCATCCAGTCCTCCGAAGCAATACCACCAATCCAGTTCCATAACGTCACACAGCCTGTTGCAGACAAGAAGAGGTACTTTAAAGCACTTAAAATTACAGAAGACAGTCATCAAAGAGCTCCAAGTTATCTTGTGGGAACTAACTGTGCCATTATCGATCCCATAGCTTAAATGCAGAAGGTAAAATGAATCAGATGGTGTATGAAAATCATTTTGAAGTCCTATCATGACTGATCAGGAGGTGAAGAATGAGTAAATTATAAAGCTTTCATTAAATTTTACAATGTAGGAAGTAGTAGTGACTCACAAGAAAAAGAAATTTTACAAGTAAATCTAAATGATCTCAGTTCAAATCAATGGATATGTCATATGAACTTAAAACGATATCCATATTATGGGAGATAAAACACATAAGGGGAGTACTAAGACCATACGTCTTGCAATTCAATTATGTTTCAATGGCTCACTGCAAACTTGTATCGAAGATAAAACTACATCTACCATAAAATCTGTACAAACTCAATCTACATTTATATGGCAAGTTGTAAAAGCAGTAGCTTACAAGTGAAACAAATGACTTTAAACAGAAAAATAGATCACATTAAAACATTGTACAGATATTTCTTTAAATTCTCACTGTCGGTTAATACAAACCGGAACGTAGTGAAATCATAAAAATTCTCTTATCATCTTAGGTTTCTGAAAAATTAAGAAATGCCACAATAAATTACAGCTAGGACTCAAACGAAAAGAAATCCTAATTTAAAAAAAGACTATAACTTTAATAAAAAAGAAAAAAAAAGATCTGTCCTTTCAGAAATCAAAATATTTCTTAAACAGCTGGCTGGCTAAACGCTACACTACTGAAGACAAGCACAGAGAGAATGTGGGAGGGGGGACAAATGCAGGGGGCGGGGCCAGGAGCCAGTGTTGGGCTAGTGGTCTTGGATGTGACCAGGGGGCGAGGCCCAGCCCAGGACCAGGACCAGGAGGAGGTGTAGATGATAGTCATCTGCAGCAGCCCAGGGGGCTGGTTGCTGTAGCAGCAGCCCAGGGGGCCGGTGGCTGTAGCAGCAGCAGCGGCGGCGGCGCTGGCCATCTCCAGGCTGCTGTCAGTGTCGGTCAGGGATGGGTCGGTGGACATGGAGGAGCATCGTTGACAGAGGTGGAGGAGGACATGGAGGTGTGGTGCTGGTGGTGCTGCTGGGGGCTGCTGCTCACTGTTGCACCTGTGCTGTGAGACATAGAAGAGGCCTTGTGGTCAGCCATCAGAAGTGAACACGCAGCACTGGCTGCTGAAGCACCTTTGTTTGATTGTAGTTGGAGGGAAACTTAGGTATATTTTTCAACCTGGACCATATTTCTCTGTGTTTTTGTATTTAAGTGACTAAAGGGTGCAACATTTTCTGAAAATGGTCCAGTATTGAAAAAGACGGCTGCAGCAAGATGAAACAGGCTGCAATGTAATCCTTCGAGGAAGTATCGCACCATAAATCTATGATGGCTGGAAGTGCTTGTTTTTGCCACTGGCAGGCTCAGATGGTTATTATAAGTGTCTGAAAACATAACGGAGTCTACAGAGAAATAAAATGTTTTTCTTTACTATTAGCTGATCTGATCGGTTTGTTATTGTGTCTAACTAAGTCTTGCTTAAAGGAAAAGTCTTGTTCTGAGGTCTTGTGAGTTGAGTTGTTGCAGGAAAACTACTACTATATCAACAACAGCCCGTACCCACCTAACACTTTCGGTATGGTACCTTTGGAACCAAAAGTAACCCTTCAGACGTGGTACCTAGACCCTAGTGTTTCCACCACAAACAGTGCTCTTAAATATGGGTGTTGTTGTTGTCACTCACTGTTCCGTCCAGCACTCACTGTATTTCCTCATTACTGGTGACACAGAAGGAAGTCTGCACCTTGTATATCGTCCAGTGGTCAACTATAGTCAACTATTGCATTGAGTAAGATTAAAAGTTAACATCCAGCAGTCGGCCCAGTGAATTAAGTTATTTGTTCTCCGACTACAGCTGCTGCTAGAGGCAGCAAAACATCCTTTTATTTAATAGTTATGGTTTACTAATAAAACTCTCCACGGTATGAACAGTGGTTACATGAGCCTCAAAACCAGCCACAACTCAGCCCTGAGCAGAGTGACCGTCCTCTATTGACCAATCAACAGACTGCAGTGTTCACAGCTCCACCTTTTAGTAGCAGATCTGTGAGCTAGGTACTCCAACAAAGGGGGGACCAAAAATGGGGATGGAACGGAACAGTACAATTGGTACCATCCACAACTTTTCACAGTGGAAACGAAAAAAAAGCATACCATACTGCTCGGTGGAAATGAATACATTTTTTTCTTTACCTTTTGCTTGATCCAGTCTGGTTTGTTATTGTCTTCCTGCAACACCTGCCCTCTCAAGACTTCAGAACAAGACTTCCTTGTTACTTTGTTAGACACAATAATAAACAGACCAGGTCAAGCAAAAGGTAAAGAAAAATGTTTTATTTCTTTGTCAAACACTTATAACAATCTCTACCTATCAGTGGCAACAAACACTTAAAGTGGCCATACATTGATGCTGCACTATTGCCCCCAAAGTTACATTGCAGGCTGTTTCATGACTGCAGGCTGCAGCGGTCTCACTCAACACCAGACCAGTTTCAAAACTGGTCATCTCCATAGGTCCAGGTTGGAAAATACCCAAGATGCCCTTTAAGCTTATTAGTCTGCGTAGTGCTAGCAAGATGGTGCTCCTTCTTTTCTGCATGAGAACCTATGTTTCCACTTGTATTTATGAGAAGTTTCGAATTTCGTATTATCATACGAAAATTTCAGGACTGCAGGAGAAAGGCCAGAAAAAAAAACTTTTCTCAAAGTGATGTCACTGAACCTCTTGCTGCCTCACACATTTTCCCTACAATTTCAAGTTGTGTAACAGCTTTTGCACCATTTTTACATAACAAAAAAAGTAATAAAATGATAACAGGCTTAGAGGCCTGGTTTGACAATTACATAGCTCAGAGACAGTTTATTGTGCAATCTATATTAGACTAATTCTTGTGTCTAACATTCAAAAAGAGCAGTACTAATGCCACACCACATGCTGGATAAGGAGTCACTACTTTAACTTGCTACAGTTGTTATTCTGCTTACTAATCCTGTGTCACCTGTAGATTTATGCCAAACCTAAGCAGGGTCATAACAGAACATGTAATAAATGTGCTAGTTTTGTCACTCTCCTGTCCACATACGGTAGATTCTGGTAGAGGAATTACCAAAGTTAAGTAAGTATAAAGATGAGCTCAAGAGTGGAAAACACCTTTTCTGTCACAGAAATCTTATTGCGACATAATATGCAGAGCTGTACCAGTGCACTGCTGATGTTTTAACAGGCTTTGGACACAGATTATGGGCACAGTCTGGATCATTTACACATCTTTAGGAGGGACACGCTCACTTGAACGTGTTCCTCATAAAGTCTCTCACACACCCAAGAAACCCCACTAACCTATGGACGCTGACTGTCCCCTGATGACACCGTTCTTTGTCCTTTCTTCCCAGTCCAACACTTCTTTGTATATCAACTCTGCAACAAACAAGACACAGTTGTTAACAACAGCACAGAGGTATAAACAATGAGAACAGGAAGCTGTATGTAATTCACTCCTGTCACCTCACAGATTTTCTGACTTACAGTACAGTTCTGTACTAATCCTTATTTGTTCTTCAGTCATTTCCCATAATTGTAATGTGCTGTTACTTGAATATGCTTTTTATCTAACCTGGTAAAATACATAAACGGGCAATTTTACATGATAATCTATTTCGAAGGAGAGAAAGATGCAGTGTGTGTGAAAAGAGGAAACACCAACGAATCACGATCCAGGTGTGAATCTCCTGCCGTCATTATCACTCTGTCTGCACTGCGGAGGAGGAGGATGTTTAAATTCTCAGCACCCTTACTTTCCTGGGGTGTTGCCCAGCAGTCAGTCACAGGTCTGCTGTCATTTTCCTTTTATATGCTGCATTTAGGTTACATTATTAGCAAGCAAAACATCCATTTCTTTTATGCTGATGATGCTCCACTATACTTTCCACTAGGGGGGCCGCTGTGGCTCAGAAGAAGAGCAGGTAGTCCAACTACCATTTACTGAAATATAGTAATAATTGCAGCTAGTCTCATATTAAGCCGTTTTGTGTATCTCACAGAGCTTGAAAAAAATAAATAATTCTAGTTCATTTATTTGGCACAAAACTTACATCAGTCACCTGAAATCAAGTCATGGTCTGTGTCCATGTTAATTTATTTTATTTATGTTGTACAATATTTTTTCATTTTCCTTTGTTTCTTTCATCTGCACTTGTATTTCATCACAGCTAACCAATCCAGCATATTTCTATTAAAAAATACCTGAACTTCATGGTATAAATCTGGATTTTTCACAAGAGTAAAGATTTGGATGCAGATGATCTGTAATCTAATACACATTTCAGGCTGTGTAAATTAGTTATTAATCAGTAATTAATCAGTTAATTTATAAGTTGTTAACTATTAAATTGATCACTTACTAATTTGATAATCTATAATTCCGTTTGATTTAATTTTTTTTAAGTTAAAATTCTCTGATTTCAGCTTCCAAAATGTGACTATTTTCTTGTTTCTTTATTCCTGTATGAGAGTAGGCTGAATATCTTTGGGCTGTGGACAAAGTAAGACATTTAAAAGATGTCAACTTGGGCTTTAGGAAACACTGGTTGACATTTTCACCATTTTCCGTCATTTTATAAGTGAAATAACTGGTCGATTAACTGAGGAAATAATCATCAGATCAGATTAATTGACAAAGAAAATCATTAGCAGCACCCCTAGTGAAAAGAGGAAGCACGGAGGACATGTTTGCCACGTGTGCATCAGTTATTCCCAGTGTACAAGTGGGACTGTGCATCAGACATGAGTGTATTTATAAATTCTGAGCGTACAGATGAAAACGCGTCGGAGAAAGAAGATTAAATGTCCCACAGGCTGCAAAGCACGAACATAGACCGACCTTATGCAACACACTGCAAAAAGCTAAGTACTTATGACAGCTTATCAGAGAGGAGAGGAGAGGAGAGGAGAAACAGAGGATCTTTCCTACCTTTCCACTCCTCCACTGTGTGCTCTCTTTCATCCAGCTGCTTGTCTGTGATCGCGGGTGGTGGCTGGAAACAGACAGATGCACATGTTTGGTGTTTGACAGATGCTCATTCTAAACATAGAGTGACAACCCCACACACATCACACTCAGGTTAATGATATTCAGACTCAAACAGTGCACAGAACACACATTTACCTGACACTTTAAGCCAGTGTTTTTATAGACAGACTGATGATGGACTCACGCTGGCTATTATTGGCCACCAAACTTATGTGATTCAAATTAAAGTGCTGTCAAACCACTGGGCCACCCTGCTGTCACACATAATTACTGACAGTGCCATTTATAGAACTCACAGCCTCAGTTTCAAAGACAGTTTCTAAGTATGTTTAACTACAAGGCCTGAGGTTTTCAGTCAGTTACCACTCTGAGCTTAATGCATGTTTTCATTCCACCTTAACAGCAGGTGAATGAGGCCCAAAACAGGAGGGTGGAAACTCAGCTGCAGACTCAGCTAATTGATGGCCCGAGATAGAAACTGCAGCATTAAACCTTCCTCATGTTAAACACACTTTATATTACATTTTTCTGCATTGGAGGGCAGAAACCTTTTCCAGCAAAATCCCACAAAAACTTTAAATTTACAACACAGAGCTGGAATAAACTTCCTCAAAGCCAGCTGTGGATTATAGTTATCTGTCCTCCCCGGAGTCAAATGGAGATTTGATGCATTTACGCAGTGTCACAGCAAAAAAATCGGTGTACAAATCTGCACGGGAGAGGGGAGTGGAAGAATGCAACAATTCACCTCATCTCCCAATCTGCCTGATCACAGGGCAAAATCAATTTTCACCGGCTGAGTCATTGTGTTTCCAAGGAGAGCGTGGTTGATTGTCACCAAACATGTACAGACAGCACATTTTGTATGCAGAGCACAAACAATTTTAGGGGCAAATTCACAAAAGGACTGCTCGGCTGCTAAACCTGCACAAATAAAGCGAAAAGAAACTGTGTAATTCTCAAAGCACCTGCAAAGAGTGACATGCACCCCTACCTGCACTGCAAAGCAAATAGTGTCTCAGTGCTCCTGTGCTATTTGCACGCATTAAATGAGGTAATATGGATACATCTGGCGCAGAATTACCCCCTTTGTATGTAAATGAGCCTCACTGCAATAACAGTCACATTCACAAAGATCAGCGCTAATAGCCACGTGCAGTTACAGTGAAATAATTAGTGTCTTTAGAGAGTTGGTGGCAACTGAAGCGCACTGACAGACTGGAACATTAAATCCCAAATACGTTTTTTCTCTCTCATGTTTAAATTCCTGCCTGAAGTTTTGAGGAATGCCTCTGCACCTCGTCAGTGAGGACCTGTAGCTCCAGGTATGAAAATTTTAGTTTTCTTTTTCTTTGCTGTTGTTCTGCCTCCTGTGTTCTTAGTGCCAAGGCAACATTTATATTTTGCCACATGGATAACTGCAATCAGACGCAAAAAGGGCATATGGCACTCAGCTGCAACTGGACCTTCAGATGGAGTAGATAGCTGTTGCAAGTCATGTACAATTCATGGTGCTGTCTGCAGCCGCAATCCATTGTTTGTGAATTTTTTCCATCAGTGAGAAAGCAAATATTCACATGCTTAGAAAAAAAACCCACCTATAAATAAACCATCAATAATTAGCGACTTCTTACCGCCTCCACTTCAGTCGGGTCGTACCACACGTTGATATAAGGGTGCTGGAGAGCCTCGTCCACTGAGATCCGCTTCGAAGCGTCTATTACCAGCATCTTGGATAGTAGGTCTCGAGCTTGGCTCGCTGACAAGAAATTATGGCAGAAAAAGAGAAAACAGGATACCTTAACCTTTAAACTGACCAGATTTTGATTCTACAATGTCTTCCACTTGAGAGCGTCTTGCTGATGTGATGCATATTCAGCTGGAACAAGATGTTGGAGCAGTGTGATATAATTGTTACTTCACTGTGCTGTTTCAGCTTCACTGTGCGGAATAATGTATGTGCACTAGAAGGATGTTTCAACATTCATCTGTTGAGGGGGGAAAGTTTCTCTGCGCTCGTCTTCAATCTGAGTTTAACTACAAGCAGGACTTTGTGGTCCTGTATGCAATTTAGTGTGTCATGGAAACTTGAAACCTCCAGTGCATATACACTGAGGACTTTAAATGAGGGAGAGTTGTCAGATTCGGTAAGTTTTGCTTTAAATAGCCCAGAACTCATTAAACTGTAACTATAGCCAGTTAATTTTTAAGAAATAAAAATGAAAAATGATATGAAATACATGAGGCCTTTCCTTTAATCTAGTGCTCCACTGACTTGGTGACCTTTAGCACTGCATTTTAAAGCATTATCTATTTAGGGTTTTGAAATTTTAATGTTTTGTGCTGTAAATGTCTGGCCTTTTGTTTTACTTTCTGTTGGCTTTGCTGACAGACAGACAGCTAACAGTGTTGACATGGGAAAACATAGTGACCACTGCACACCATAGATTTTAATAATAACTACATACTGGACGCCAAGATGGTGCCAATTTATTCCAATGGAGATGCTTGCCTGGCAAAAAAGTTTTCAAGCATCCAGGTTTACTTCCCTGTATACGGCCCACTGAAAATGTGCAGTAGTATTTGTCCTGCTGACCCCACCTGCAAGTTTTACAAATATAAAACCACCATAGCTCAATAGTTTTACAGACATGTCTTTTATAATGATGCCCTATGGGGAAAATTATTTGGGTGCCGCGGGGGATTTTTTTTTTTTTTCTTTTTTCTGAAATAACGCGAGTGGCCACTAAGAAAAATTTGCTGCAAGGCTCAGCGGCTTTCCTGGGGGCCTGCTGCCCACCCTCCAATCTCCACTGGTTAGCTAATGTAAGCCTTGGCTGCTCTGCACTGTGGACCACCCAGGTTGGATGGGCTAGCTAGTGGCACTGCTCATTCATGATTAAAACTGACTGCTGCTGAAACATGGTGGCCATCCTCTAGTCTCCTCACAGGGTGCTCTGGTGAGTAAGCAGCTTCATTTTGAGCCGCAAAACCCCTTAAGTATTGTTAAGTATGTTAGCACTACTAGCTGTGCCGACATTGCAAACGGTGCTAACAGAGCTAGCAGTGATAACAATGATAAAAGGGATTTGTGGCTCAAAATTGGGCTGCTTATCCAGTAAAGGGACCTATGAGGAGACTTGAGGGTAGGCACAGTGTTTTCACAGCAACACTGTTGTGTTGGGACAGAGTTACTAACAGTAATTGAATGAGCGAAACCCCTCCCACCAGACCTGGGTGGTGCACAGCTCAGTAAAGTAAAAAGTACCAAGATCAATTTATAAACCGACATGTGTAAACCGCTCAAAAATATTCTTGGTGGTGAACCAATTAACAGTTAACTGTTGACATCACTAGTAACTACATAATTTAACTTTTGGTGGAAAAAAACCTATCAGACACAAATATCTGTTCCAAGCTCAATATTTTTATATGTCATAAAACATATCTGGAGGGGATTTTTAATAAATGGAGGATCAGTGACACAGGAGAAGAGTTGGATGTGGTTTTCCAGAGAATGATGGGATCTTTCTAAAGATGCCCTGTGGAATTTTCTTGTAAACAAACAGTTATGTTTACATTCAGTGTTTTCTTGCCAAAAACACATTGTGTACATTCTTAAAGCCTGGCAAACGTCTTACATGCTCATGCGTTCTTTTGCATGTTACAAACAAAAACGGGGGGCCAGTTCACACAAACACTGCTCCATTGCACAGCTAGTGGTCAAACACTACTCAGGGTGCCTTTAAACCTTCCATTTTAAACAGATAGAAACTGTTGTTGTGTTTGTATTTGGGCTGTTCAGGACATTCACCTTGATTATCAAATGTTCTATGTGAAAGCCTTGTCAGCGTAGGCAATCAAAGAGCCGTGTGCCGTATGTGAACATCTAATACATGCAGTTTAACAGGTGTACTTCAGGGGAATACTGTTGTCACATATCCTCCATGAATTAATGAGTACAGAAACATTTTCTTCCTCCTTGCCTCATCTTGAAACAGCTCCACGACGCTCGCTTTGAGCGTTCCTGTCAGCTCCTCTCCATTTACACATGAAGACATGCTTGAGGTAAATTCCTCCTCACAGTAAACAACTTGGTCCTGAACTGTCAGCTTCTGTAGTAAGTGCTTAATCTAAGGCAGTTGCTGAAAACTGATTTGTCACTTGGGCTTTGCTGTCAGCAGATGTTTATACGGTTGCACATACACTCAAAGTGATGGGGAAAAAGTTCATCTTTTTGCTTGCAAGTGATTGGATACATACTCGATGAGCCACCATGGAACCATTGTATCACTCTTTCAATTACAAAAATAGCCATTTAAAATGTCGCCCATGATAAATTCTACATTAGCAAAAAAGAACCAGCTTTACAAAGTCTTTTGTTCAAATTTCAGGCAGTAAAATTGGAACATATTGTGGCATAAAACTCTCTGGAAACTCTGATTGCCTCATTATTCCTGGCTCCTTCTGGCATGTGATAAAACAGCAATTTACATTTTACAAATGGTTCCCCTTCAGGCTGGACAACTGCTGCACCTGTAACAGAGGAACTATGCTCGAAAATGGTTTTTATCTCTTAGCAGGAACTAAATTTACAACCTCACACCAATTTTAGCGTGCTTCAATAAGCCTTCGCAAGATGGTTTCACAGGTATTAAGAGAGGCGGCAGAATCTTTACCTTTCAGTTTGTTGTGTTCAGAGTCTGCAGGGAACAGGACATCAGGGAAGAGCTTCTCAAAGCTGTAGCCCGCATACCGTGGCCTGTTCTCCACGTAGGTCCTCACCGACTGGTTGAGCTTCATCAGGAACTCCTGAGACGGTGTCCCCAGCTGCTCGATCACCTTATTCCACTGGTCGATATCTTAGGGTTGCAGTATTAAGAAAAGTACCAGGCTGGGTTTGGACAGAAGGAGTGGCCATTCCAGAGTCAGGTTGGGTCATTCTGAGTAACATTTTGAACTGATGAATAATAAAAGAGAGCCATCTGGAGCTGCTACATCTCATACTGCGTTGTTCTGGCCTGGATATGTTCCTAAAATACATGTGTAGCTGCAACTGTGCTGAAAGATGCAATATCAAAGCTGTCATGGGATAAAGGATGTAGAAAACTGCTGTAAAGAGATGGCTCAAGATTGTAGAGTGTATTATTGGATGAACTCAACTCAAATTTCTCAAAACAAAGAATTTAAATATTCAGACAATTAGGTGAAAAGCTTATTCAGTATTGGCAGTTTCACTTCTGAGGAAAATAATTAAGTCCCATTCAAACCTGTGGAAATCAGCCAAGCTGGACAAAGTGGGGTACACACACCATAAACTATGTTAGGTGAGACAGACAATGCTCACCTCAAGTGATCCAGATGCTGGAAATATGTATGCAACTTTTTTTTCTTGTGGACAAAAACACACATACACACAGATGTAAAATGTACAGATCTACTTGACGGACACATACAGACATGCCTTGTTCGCGTCTTCGCTCATCCTTAACACTGGATGAACAACAAGAAGGAAAAGCCTGCTGCCATAACCGATTTTTTTAAAGCCATTTTAAAAAGCGATTTGTTGTGCTTGTTGACAGGTGTTTCCCTGGTAGGCAAAACAGTGGATCCATTTATTTGGGTCCTGACAGAACATGAAAAACAGCCTTCATAGAGAGACCCAAGTTTATCCGTCAAACCAAAAGTGGGGAAAGATAAGTTAGACAGGATAAATCATAAACCAACAAGTGTATTGAATCCTGACTGAATTATTAGAAAAGGCTTAGTCCTAAATTATCAACAAACTTGTCTAGATACCAAAAACGCATTCGACTCTGTAGGGTGGACCTTTCTCTTTAAAATTATGGAAAAGTTTGGCTTTAATGAAACAATAATAATTGACAATAATAACAATCTAAAAGATAGAAACATTATAAATAGATCATCAGCTCAGGTACTGATCAACAGGGAACGGCATATACTTTGTGACAATAAAAATGTGTCCACCAGTAGATACTGGCAATACTGTTTGTTTCTATTGTGGAGTAAAATCAGGGCTGGATTCTCACGTGATCTTGTGACTCGTGTGATCTTCTAAATTTCGCCTGATCTCATGAATCCAGCTGCCTCTCAAGGTAACATGATTTGGGTGGTCATGGAGGACATGGAGTAGTTGTAAATACAGAAAACTTCAAACACTTGAAATTATTGTTCTTAGTAACCCTAAAGCTTCCATTTTTCATCCAGTCCTACCACCGCCGAGTGCTTTTTTGTAGGCCAACCCAGAAGTTAGCATCGTCCTGGTTTCCTCGACAAGAAAAGCCAGCAGGATTTTTTTTAATTGGATTTTGGATTATTGCAGGAAGCAAGCTCTGTGGCAAACAAACGTTTATGATTCTTACATGTTTTCTTCAGCAAGATTACCTTTCACAAATTAATACCACTTTTATGACTGTTGAATCTTAAATGCAATTGCCAGAAGTAAAAAGCTAACGTTAGGCTATAAAAGAACCACAACACGATCCCATGGCTTCATCATTGCCCCCACAACATGGCATGTGATAGCATTTTGTAGTCTCATTTAGCCACTTGTTGGCAGATGATGTAAAAGATGTAAAAGTGCAAAAACTAACAAATTTCTGGGCTTTAGGACTTATTCTTGCACCACTCTACTCATGCTAGCCTCCGTTTCATTAGTTTCAATCACAGTATTTTCCCAATGACATATTTTCATAATCTCATGCTTTCTAACAACCTGAAATGGGACAGTGTTATGTTCTGTCATATTAGTTTGTTAAATGACATACAGTACTACTGTAATGGATTTTGCTCTAAGAACAAATAACTTTTTTTTCTTGTTTAGCTGCTTACTCTGTCAATGTAACCTCTCTGTTAACATAACAAACAAAGCTAATGCTACATAAACCTCAGCTAACCAAAGTCATCCAGCATATTACAATATTAACCAACTACTAACTTCTTAATGCGAAGTAATTAATCAGTGATAGCACAGTTTGTTTTTAGCTTAATATGAATCATTATATCCTTAATTAGCATATGAATTATTGAGTTATCGCCTAAAACCTCTTCTTTTAATCTGTACATTCTTTTTTCCAAGTGGACGTTTGTGCCAAATCTGAAGAGATTTCCTCAAAGTGTTCTTGAGATATCGCATTCACTTGAGTAAGATGGATCCAAGGTCACAGCGACCTTGACCTTTAACCACCTAAATCTTATCAGTTCATTGTTGAGTCCAAGTGAATGTTTGCGCCAAATTGAAAAAAAAAATCTTATTCTTCTTACGATATTGCATTCACAAGAATGAAACAGACAAGGTCACAGTAACCTTGACCTTTGACCATCTAAATCTTTTTTTTTTTTTTTTTTTTTTTCCTTAAGATTTTTTTTGGGCTTTTAGCCTTTAATGTATAGGACAGTCAAGTGTGAAGGGGGGAGAGAGAGAGGGAGTGACATGCAGCAAAGGGCCACAGGCTGGAGTCGAACCCGGTCCGCTGCGGCAACAGCCTTGTACACGGGGCGCCTGCTCTACCACTAAGCCACCGGCGCCCCTGACCATCTAAATCTAATCAGTTCATCATTCAGTCCGTGTAGACATTTTTTGCCAAATTTGAAAAAAACATTACCTTAAGGTGTTTTTGAGATATCACGATCACAAGAATAGGATGAACGGACAACCTGCCCACTATTCAGGTGCGGAAGTATACATATATATATATATATATAAAAAAAAAATAATAATAAAAAAAGTCACATTAGTTTCAGTTAAGTATGCAAACCAAGTACAACTGCTGCATGAGGCTCCCACATAATATTTACAGGATATAATTCCATACACATATATATATACCATCCATGTCATAGCAGGGAAAGCACAGGTGTAATTAACTAACCCTGTCATTGTGCTTGTTCATTAGTGTGACTGATTACACCTGTGCTTAACCTGCTATGAGGACTATCACTGCCATGACAAAGGTTTTTTCCTCGTCCACTCACTCACTGAAAGAAATTAACGGTACCACTGCATACAATGATTCATTAAATCAGTCATTAAACAGGCGCAGTAGCTTGGCAGGCTTTCCCCATTGTGTGGAAAGACATGAACAAGATGTCAGACAAAAGGATGAGAGACGAGACGGCATTTCGGGGGTTTGGATGAAGGTACAACTTAAGGATACGATCGGTGCCTGGAAACAACACACTACCCCGGACCATTTCAGCCATGATGCAGCCAACAGACCAGACATCAACTGAAAAATGAAATGACAACCACCAAATTAGCATGCAGGGCTGGAAAACAAACAGAAAACAACCCTTACAACATAAAAAACTCATAAGAACATAAGGGAAAATAAAAAACAAAACATGATGTGATGTGATGCCAGGTGATGTGTGTGATACAAGACAAAATGAACTGCATGCAGTTGGGTGCACTCAAACCTGGTCAGCGTCCCACATAGCTAGAGAAAATATTATGATTCTTTTTGGCTGGCTTTAACTGTACATACTGCACATTTCTGTACTAGCAGCAGTATTACTAATCAAGAATATATGTTTCAGATCATTTCTGCTTCAGATGCACTGAATAGTGAATCAGAGGCTTTTAAAGTGAGACACTGACTGTCAAGGTCTTCTGAAAATGTGTTTTTGTAGAAATGCAACACCCTCAGTATCCTCACTGCACTTCATGCTGTGTTAAACTTGAACATTCTGATCTATACGGCCAGAAATGATCATTTTGGAGCTTTTGTCACACCCACATGTGCAACACTGCCGTTCCAGAGTCACACAAATACTTCTAAAACACAACACCAATTTTTTTAGTATTATGTTGTGGGACAAAACCTGTGACTGCTGCATTAACAAAGACATGAAGAGCAGACTGAGGATGCAGGAGGGTATTTCATGCAGTTTAGTTCTTAGCAATGGAGGAGCAAACTATTCAATTCTATTTCAGGTTTTTCGTGTGACTGTCGTGGTGCTTGAAGCAACAGTGCCGAGGTGAGTGAGGAGGCAGTCGTGTGAGTTTGTCTGTCTGTAGGAACTGCAGGTGGGTGGATGCGAGTCGAGGTGTCAGGCAAATCCGAGAAATAGAATCTCTATAGTTGCTCTCGGGTTATGATCTCTGTGCGATCCATTTGATGAAGAGACATGGTTTGAAGAGACGAAAAGACGTTCCGGGTGCTATGTTTTGTTTCATAAGAAATGCCAAACACTGCTGCAAGCAGCTCAAGGATACAATCCCTTCCTGGAAAAAGGATTTTGTGGCGAACCATTTCTGCCATAATGCAGCCCACAGCCCAAATATCCACTACATATGTGCAGCATAAAAGGAGGGAGAAGAGAATAAGCAAAAAAAAGCAACAAGTCAGCAGGAAAAATTAGGGTCAGTGTTTTGGGTCAAGAGGACCAAGGATGAGAGAGCGTTAGTATTGAAGGGGAACTTTGGTATTTTTCAACCTGGACCACCTTTTCTCATGTTTTTATGCCGTAGTGACGAATGGGAACAACAGTTTTTGAAATTGGTCCAGTAAGACCACTGCAACTGGCAGCCATTAAACTAACAGTGTAATCAATCCTTCAATCCAATCAGGGGCAATACTGCACCGTCAATGTACAGTACGTCCACTGAAAGTGCTTGTTTTTGCCACTGGCAGGCTTAGATGGTTCTTATAAGCATCAGGCAACAAAATGGAAAGGACCCTACAGAGAAATAAAACGTTTCTCATATCCTTCTTAACATGTGTGTAACCAAGTCTTGCTCAAAGCAGAAGTCTTGTTCTGAAGACGATAACAAAAAGACCAGATCAATCGAAAGGTAAAGGAAAATGTTTTATTTCTTTGTAGGGTCCTTTCCATAATTGTGAGACACTTTTCATAACAAGCTGAGCCTGTCAGTGGCAAAAGCTAGCAGTTTTAGTGGATGTACATTGACAGTGTTCTGTTGGACTCAAGATAACATTGCAGACTGTTTCGTAGCTGTCAACTGCTGCGCTCCTGCTCAACACTGGACCAAATTCAAAAATTGGTGTTCCCATTGTTCACTAAAGCACAAACACATGGGAAAATGCCGTCCAAGTTGATAAATACCAAAGATACCCTGGAGTTTTGCCATAATGGGAGCATTGTTGCTATGTGTCCACCTCATGATGCCAGTACCAGAGGCAACATGTGATTCCCTGGGTTCTTTTAATATCTAGAAATCAAAAATTTGCCAAATGGACTGTTATTCATCTGACTAAATACCTTAAAGTCCAACTATCTGCTAGGTTACTGGAGCCCCAGTCTCGTCTCTATCAAAGGAACAATTTAAAATTTTGGAAAATATGCTTGCTGGCTTTCTTGCCGAGAATTAAATGGAAAGGTTGATACCACTTACATGTCTGTATGCTGAATATATGACTAGAACCAAGAGACAGCTAGCCTAGCTTAGCATAAAAACTGGCAACAGGGATAAACGGCTAGCACGGCTCAGTCTAAATCATCTGCCCTCTAGCTCCACCAGGGCTCACTTATTCACATGTTATATTTCCTGGACTCAACCAGGACCTAGTCCGACACATAACCCCCGTAAAACTACAACTTTGTTTTTTCTGTTCTGAATATGAAACAAAATATAACGTGTTAATTTGTGAGCTTTAGAGGTGCTGGTAAGTGAAGTTCTTTACCCTTGGACTGAGCCTGGCTAGCCGTTTCCCCCTGCTAGCAGTCTATATGCTAACCTAAGCTAACTGCGGTACCAATCTTCCAAACCAACACAAGGCAAAAAGGCATATTTCTCAAAATGTTAGACCGTTCCATTAAGACTGTCTTGCAGAAACTGTGATATGTTCCAAGCAGGAGCACTGAGTGAAACTGCTGAAGCATGCACAAGTGCCTGTATTCATACTGGCGTTTTTAGCCAGGCTGTTCGGAGCTCAGGACAGGCAACCTCTTAATAAAACATCAAACGCATGCTAAAGCACTGCTGGGAACTGGAGTCCCCAGACAGGAAGTTTCACACAAAGCACCGATGCCCAACATGCCAACTTCCCCCCTGAGTGTGACCTTTACAGGAACAGGGAGTGTGTGTGTGGAAGTGTGTGTGTGTGTGTGTGTGTGTGTTTGGGAGGTGCTGTTGAAAACATCCCAGGGGGGAGGGCCATGCAGCAGGTCAGGCAGCAGCTTAAGAGCTCCTTATTGGCCAGTCGCTGTCAAGAAGCTGCTTTCCTCCACTCACCGTTGGCCTGGTAGCCCATGCCCAGGATGACCTCTGGGGCGCGGTAGTAGCGGGTGACCACGTAGGGCGTCATGAGGAGGCCGGTGGCGGCTGTCCTGGCCAGGCCAAAGTCCAGGATCTTCAGTGTGCAGTCAGACTTCACCACGATGTTGCTCGGCTTCAGGTCCTACACAGAAAAGACATCACTGAGAATTACAAGTCTGATTTAGATCAGAGGTCCAAGTCAACTGAAAAGCAGTGTTGCAGTCAGTTTCATCTTCAATTAGGGACATTCATTTCCACATTTGCCAAATGTACCAGTGTTTTTTAAAGTAAAAAATAACAAATACAACAAATATTTTTTGTGTGGGAACAAATCTAATAAATTCTATATATGGAAAACACTGTAGTTGGTGTATTTGGACACTGGGGCCTGTTTTCCTCTAGAGGACACTATCATTCATTCTTACAAAGTATGAAAAACAAAGAGATGATGTATCACAAAGGGTTTGTTTTGTTTGGTCCCACTTGTTTTTTCCATAATTTAACAGTTTTGGATTCAGTGTCTTCACATTAGGGCTGCATTATTTTCTGCACTGCTTCATGACGATAGCCTGACGCCGACAAGAAGAAACTCACTGAGCTTAAAGGAGCAATAAGCGAAATTCATCATTTCTAGATCGAAGGAATTAAAAAATTGCTATGTGAAGAACTAGGGGTGTAATTTCATCTGGAGTATAGTATGACCTCACACACCCTCTCTCTGTGTTGATCTCCAGCCCATTGTTTACAAGCCGATCAGGCTGCACGTTCATGTACGTTCATGTGAATAACCACCGGTTGGAGAACAGAGGTAGAGGGAGGAGTGGCTCATGACACACTTTGTTTTGCTCTATAGGCAGTGCACAACAGCGAACCTAGCGGTGAAACGATTTCGCTTACTGCCCCTTTAAGGGCAGGCAATATATCGATTACACTCTATAATTTATTATAACAGTAGTCTGTTACAGCAGTACTTTATTTAACTTTATTATAACAGTACTTTCATTCATTCATCTTTTAACCGCTTCAACCTCTTGAGGGTCTTGGGGGGGGCTGGAGCCTATCCCAGCTGACATTGGGCGAGAGGCAGGGTACACCCTGGACAGGTCGCCAGACTATCGCAGGGCTGACACATAGAGACAAACAACCACTCACACTCACATTCACACCTACGGACAATTTAGAGTTATCAATTAACCTAGTTTTTGGACTGTAGGAGGAAGCCGGCGTGCCCAGAGAGAACCCACGCTGACACGGGGAGAACAGGCAAACTCCGCACAGAAGGGCTCCCACACCCGGGATCGAACTGGCAACCCTCTTGCTGTGAGGCGACAGTGCTAACCACCACGCCACCTTTATTTAACTCTATTATAATAGCACTGTATTTAACTTTTTTACAGCAGTACTTTATTTAACTTTATGATAACAGTACTTTATTTAACTTTATTATAACAGTACTTTATTTAGCTCTATTATAACAGCACTGTATTTAACTTTTTACAGCAGTACTTTATTTAACTTTATGATAACAGTACTTTATTTAACTTTATTATAACAGTACTTTATCTAACTTTATTATAACAATATTTTGTTTAACTTTATCATTACAGCACTATAATTAACTTTATTATTAATAACAGTATTTCAACTTTATTATAAAAGTACTGTATTTGATTTTGTAACAGTAGTTTATTCAGTAGTTTAGTATTTTAGCAGTCAACAGCAGTTTAGAGGAAATTTCAAAATATCAAGGTTTATATCGTGTTTTGTGGTAACGCCCGAAAGTACTGCGATATTATTTATAGGCCATACTGCCCAGCCCTAATGATCTGTGACTCTGATTGTCTTGGACAGTCTCCTTCAAAGTGTATTAATTCCCCTGCTAAATAACAAAGAGCTTGTAAAATGGTTGACGTGCAGGAGGAAGTCTTTGTCGTCTTCTGAAAATAATCATGACGAACCAAACTGACATTGTTGTCATGTCATCAACAAGACTCAGCGCCTGTGGCTATAATTTTCTGGCGGCCATCTGCCAGCTGATTATTACAGTGTGATTTACAACAGATTGGATACTTCATCTGGAGTGTCATAGCAGTCACTGTTGTCTTTATTGTGATCACTTCCTAGTTTGGAAATGATACACAGACTGCTTTAACACCTGGCATCAAAGTGTCCAAAAATGTCCAGAGGGCAGCTCAGTAGCAAACAATACAGAACGAACTTCAGGAAATCCTTAATGCATTATAGGTAAGAAACAAAAAACCTTCTTGACAATGAGACATCAAGCAGCAGAACTTAAGCACAGTCGATAGCGCTCTACTGCCTTGATAGTTAGGAAAATGTATTCTAGAGGGAGTGCTTAGCAACTCTGAGCATCTTAAAAGGGACTGGAGAGCTCTCATCACTCTGTGAATGAGAACAAGAGAGCTGAATCTTTGGCGATCCATGACTCATATTGCATCTGTTCACCTTATGAAAGCTTTGCGTGCTGATGCGAGTGGTGGTGGGTAGCTCCGCCTGTGGCTCAATTAGTTCTGGCTGGCAGAGCAAGAGGAGCTCTGCTAATCTACTGCTTCGTCTTTCACTGAGGATGATTGACAGAGTGCTGTCAGAGTGTGTGTGTGTGTGTGTGTGTGTGTGTGTGTGTGTGTGTGTGTGCATACAAGAGGGATCCTTTGTATATGGCTGCTGGTGCTTCAGGGTGTGTGAGTGTGTCATTTGTGTCTGTTGTTTGAAAAGTAAACAAGAGCCTGAGTGCATACATGTGTGTGTTTTACTGCAACCTGTACATCAAAATCTGCTGCCTAACAACCTGTTTATGTTTGTCTGTTATCTGCTGCTAAAGTGTCAATAAATGAAAATGAAATGAGATTGTGCCAGCTTTCACATTTTCATGGATTTATACTTGTGCGGTGGTGTGTCTGTGTGACTCTGCAGTTACACCTCCAAAACACTAGTCATTGGCGGAGTTTCTGTGAACTAAACTGTAAAGTTTAGTTGATTCAAAACACACCCAAAAACACATAACCATGGCGTAATAGCTACCATTTCAAACACAAGCACACAAATCAGCTTCACTATAACTTGCAGCATTCACAGACAAAGCGCTTGTCTTTATCTGGACACATTTTCCTCACAAATACAACATGCTAATGTTTCAGCACAAGCCTATGGTATTTTACATTGTATAAATTAGCCTAGAGGCTAGGGGAATTTTCCTCTACTCATATGAAGCCAGGGACAACAGCAACACTTAACAAAGGTAATGTTACAAAATTCAGCTCCATTAAAGCTCACAAGGTTCACTGACAAAACAACTGTCTTTATACTAAACACATTTTCCAAGAGATATATAACATGCTAGTCTGAGTGGGCGGAAGTTCGCTGCATAGATCAGCCTCTCATTGGGCTGAACGAGCCACCCGCTGAAGTCCCACCCTACCACCTCCGGTTGTGTAGCAGTTTTCAACTGTTTTCAACACGCTCTTTACTAACTTTTGCGGTGTTTGATCTTGCGGGGATGTAGCCATTTTTCTGCCGTGGTTCGCGTCCTGTAGGCGATATTTTTGTGGGCGTGTTACACCAAAACCTGTTTCCCCCCGGCAATATTTTTGCAAGCGCACTGTTGCTGTGGCACCACCCAGAACGATTGTTATTGGTTGAAAGAAATACAAGCAGCTGTGGCGTTTTTTTCTCCAATCTTAAAGTGAGAGTAGGCCCAGCCAGACCTTTCTTTTCTTGAGAAAGGTCTGGTGAGCGAGACTAATAACATGCTAACGTTATTGGCACATGCCTATGGCATTTTACATTGTACAAATTCGCCGTGCAGCTAGCGAACTTTTCCTCTTCTCATAAGAAACCAGGGACAACAGCAATGTTTAACATAGTTACAAAATTTGGTTCCAGTACAACTCACAAGGTTCACCGTCAAAACAACTGTTTTATACTACACACGTTTTCCAAACAAGTATAACATGCTAACATTATTAGCAAAAGCCTATGGCATTTTACATGGTATAAATTAGCCTAGCGACGAGCAGAGATATCCTTTTCTCATATGAAGGCAGGATAAATCCCTTGGTATAATCCCTGAAGGATAAATTACACACAAGTGATATGTGTAATGCTATTTTTGTGCAGGCTTTATTATCTACACAATTTATTGTTTCTTATATGTGACATAAAAGTAAATAAAAGGTTCGTTTCTGATGGTTTCAGCATAAAAAAATAAACAGGCTTCTGCGTCACCGCAACGTGTAGTTACATTTCTGGGGCGGTGCACTTCAGGCTACGAAGTAGGCTCTACGTCTATCCAGAGCCTATGCCATAGACACGGCATCAATTCAATGCAGGAGTAGAAATTCAGCCTTAGACAAAAAAATCATACTGTGCTTATTTCTGTATAGTAAATATGAAGCTACCACTGGCAGCCAGTTAGCTTAGCTTAGCATAAAGACTAGAGACAGTTAGCCAGGTTCTGTCAGGAATTTACAAAATCCGTCAACCAGGATTGAATCATCTATTAATACGTTATGGGCCCTTTTTTTTAAGGCAGCTCGATGACCGGCACAAGCAAGTACACTGATACATCTGCAACCTCTGACTGGGGAAGTGCCGCCCCAGAGTGCAGAGCCATTATGCTGCTCAGCATCATCCAAACAACAACATGATTTCCTGGAGAGGAGTGTTTCCATTTTGTAGCCGTGTTTATCATGCGTCACTGTGATTGGCACAGCTGTTTCAGAGCGATGAGGGCAGTGATGTGACTGGCTGAGTGTATATTTGTCAATAACCACACCTTCTGATCGATATTTACCTTCACCCAGCCCTTTAGCACTTGGAGCCACACAGTTCCTGAATCCTAGAGTTGTGTTGCTTTTGTGTGATTAAAATATGGCTCTAAATCTCTTTTGCTTAATCCATACAAAAACTGAAGTGTAAAAATGACATGTTGTGGTTTTGAGAGAGTTTTGGGCTTGACTATTTCTTGGCCGGGGGCAGGGACTTCCTGGAGCCTGGTTGTCACAATGAGTTTACAGAGACTCCAGAAAGTCTCTGCGCCCCGCCAAGTAAACAAATAAGTGTATTTCCCAAATGTTGAACTATTCCTTTAACTCTCAACTTTAAACTTGTAATAGCTTGATATATTATATGTGATTGGCATATGATGGCTTTTGCCATGTATAGTATTTTGCTGGCTAATAGCTGCCAACCAAATACCTCTGTATTTCGGATCCAGAGAGATCCGCAGCAGCTAAATCATAAAATGCTAATATCCAGCTGTAGATCAGTTTGAGCTTGCACATGTGTGCTTTCAGTTTAACATTTCGACAAACTGTTTCATGTGTAGACATGTATATTGGTGTGCCTCACCCTGTGTATGATGCCAGCAGCGTGCAGGTGTTTGATTCCACACAGCATCTGGTAGAGCAGGTAGGACAGCCTCTCGTGGTCCAGCTCCATCTGAATCACCTGGCAGAGGTTGGCATCCATCAGCTCCATCACCAGATACCTGCAGGGAAACCAGAGGGTAAAATAATCAGACGGACGGGCGGACATACATGTACACGGAGTCCTAGGTCACAGACAATTTTTCAACTTTTCCCCCTACCCTTGCATTTCCAAGTGCTATTATTGTGGTAGCAAAGTTAACTGGACCACTTTCCATTTTCCTCAGAGCCTAACAACTACCATTTTTTCCACAGTTACTTCAGTTGTTCCATGGTCTGCCATTTCTGCTGCTGTGATGCTCTTTGGAAACAGGGGATAGCTACTAATAGCAACAGGGGAAAACAAAAGTGCTATCTTCTTTATGTTTTGGTTGCGCTGTGGATGACCAAGTGACAATGCTTAAGTGCCAAAAACTGCAGTTCCTTAAAAGGCCACTTGAGACTGGCTACAAAAGCAAGTCAATCCCCACAGATACCCATGTTGAAATGCCCAAATTTACAACAAAACTTAACATGTTCACAGCCCGGTACCAAAAAAGGTTTTGGTGTCACTAATTGCTCCGTTAACAACTGTACGGGGATGATTTTCATATAACTCACCTACTTAAATGTTATTAAGGCTTAAAGTTATGCATAATAAAGGGAATGGCCGCACTGAGTGACAGGTGGATGTTTTATGTTGACAAGTCGCTGCCATGTCAAGAATGTTGGTTTGGTAACACAACCATGGAATAACCCCAGATTCACAGAATATAGTATCTGTAGCTATTGCTATTTCAATGTGTTTTAAGTTCATGAAAGTTAATTGTGCTAAAAGACCCTCTAAGGAGTCAGATGTTCAGTTTTGCTGGCAAGTACATTTTGTTCTTATGGTTATAAGCCTGTTTTTGGCTAGCAAAAATTAGCACTACCATTATCACAGTTAACCATAAAGGCACTGTGCTAACCAAGCTAACAGTCAGTGATGGGGTTAGCTTCACCCTCCCTTCCAAATATGGCCACTTCTGCTCCAAAATCCAAGACGAGGACAATCAAAATGCAACTCGAGGCTGCAAAATGGGAGTCCACAAACCGTCGCAGTGGCTACGTCCATTAACCTATTTTTATACAGTTTTTGGCTGAGGCGCTTCCTCCGTGCTGTAAATCCAGCCTTTACTTCCACAGGACATTGTACTTGGTGGCAGACTAAATTGAGGAAAGGCTTATATGGAACCAATCTAAATGCCAATGATGTCATTATTCTATGGCCGTTACATTCTGCGAGCAATATTTACTTCATAAGTTAAAACATAAAACATCTTTTTTCACTTTTCATACATTTCATATATATGAAGCTTATTTTTATGAATTATGTGACAATGTGACACTACTCAAACACAAAAAAAATGTAATAACATAGGATTAAAAGTTTCTGGTGAGTTATTGAAAAATTTCCTGACTTATTAGTCTCCAGATAGCCCTGAACTTAAATGCCACGTAACTCTGCATAAGCAAGTTTAAAATCTACTCTTTGATCTCACCCACGCAGCACTTGTTTCCCATGGCATTTAGGAAGTGACAGTAATGGTTCTCCCTCTCAAAACAGTGATGATGTTATGTTGTCTGGCAGCTCTTACATCATCAGTCCCTACAATCCTAGTAGGGAGTAAGGAACTTCTGACAGATTTTTATACACAGAGAAACATCTTGGTGACAGAGCGTGCAGCTTTACTCTGTAAAAAGTAGGACTTCTGCTTGGATGATATTTGGATAAACTCCATGTTTTAATACAACATGTAGGAAACAGAAAAAGGGTATGGCACAGAATGTCTTTATTAGGGGTGGGAATTGATAGGATTTTATCGATATCAATGCCATTATCGATTCTGCTTATCTATCCGATTCTTTATCGATTCCCTTATCGATTCCTCCTGTGAATTAATGATATTTCCTCCTGTTGTTTGTAACCCAATACATCTGCTTTCAGAACGTTTTATTATGAACCTTAAAGCCATGGTCTAGCTTAGAAAGATTTGAAAAAAAAAAAGCATCCCCAGCCTGAGTGTGTCAACACCACGCAGTTAGTGCAGCTAACTCAGGTGAGGCAGCTAACGCAGCTAGCCCAGCATATTATAACAACAAATAGCGTGCAAATCAACTCAAGTGCCCTCATCTTACCATCCTTGGTGTTCCCATGAAATCCGACAACGGGAGCGGGGATGCGCCGAAGCTCCACAGTGGGCTAACAGCTCCAGGGAGGCTAACAACAACAGCGCCCTGCCCGCCGTCCACCTGGAGCGAGGATGCGCCGAAGCTCCACAGTCGGCTAGCAGCTCCAGGGAGGCTAACAACAACAGCGCCCCGCCCACCGTCCACCTGGAGCGAGGATGCGCCGAAGCTCCAAACTAGGCTAGCAGCTCCAGGGAGGCTAACAACAACAGCGCCCCGCCCGCCGTCCACCTGGAGCGGGGATGCGCCGAAGCTCCACAGTGAGCTAGCAGCTCCAGGGAGGCTAACAACAACAGCGCCCTGCCCGCCGTCCACCTGGAGCGGGGATGCGCCGAAGCTCCACAGTGAGCTAGCAGCTCCAGGGAGGCTAACAACAACAGCGCCCCGCCCGCCGTCCACCTGGAGCGGGGATGCGCCGAAGCTCCACAGTGAGCTAGCAGCTCCAGGGAGGCTAACAACAACAGCGCCCCGCCCGCCGTCCACCTGGAGCGGGGATGCGCCGAAGCTCCACAGTGAGCTAGCAGCTCCAGGGAGGCTAACAACAACAGCGCCCCGCCCGCCGTCCACCTGGAGCGGGGATGCGCCGAAGCTCCACAGTGAGCTAGCAGCTCCAGGGAGGCTAACAACAACAGCGCCCCGCCCGCCGTCCACCTGGAGCGGGGATGCGCCGAAGCTCCACAGTGAGCTAGCAGCTCCAGGGAGGCTAACAACAACAGCGCCCCGCCCGCCGTCCACCTGGAGCGGGGATGCGCCGAAGCTCCACAGTGAGCTAGCAGCTCCAGGGAGGCTAACAACAACAGCGCCCCGCCCGCCGTCCACCTGGAGCGGGGATGCGCCGAAGCTCCACAGTGAGCTAGCAGCTCCAGGGAGGCTAACAACAACAGCGCCCCGCCCGCCGTCCACCTGGAGCGGGGATGCGCCGAAGCTCCACAGTGAGCTAGCAGCTCCAGGGAGGCTAACAACAACAGCGCCCCGCCCGCCGTCCACCTGGAGCGGGGATGCGCCGAAGCTCCACAGTGAGCTAGCAGCTCCAGGGAGGCTAACAACAACAGCGCCCCGCCCGCCGTCCACCTGGAGCGGGGATGCGCCGAAGCTCCACAGTGAGCTAGCAGCTCCAGGGAGGCTAACAACAACAGCGCCCCGCCCGCCGTCCACCTGGAGCGGGGATGCGCCGAAGCTCCACACTGAGCTAGCAGCTCCAGGGAGGCTAACAACAACAGCGCCCCGCCCGCCGTCCACCTGGAGCGGGGATGCGCCGAAGCTCCACAGTGAGCTAGCAGCTCCAGGGAGGCTAACAACAACAGCGCCCCGCCCGCCGTCCACCTGGAGCGGGGATGCGCCGAAGCTCCAAACTGGGCTAGCAGCTCCAGGGAGGCTAACAACAACAGCGCCCCGCCCGCCGTCCACCTGGAGCGGGGATGCTCCGAAGCTCCACAGTGAGCTAACAACAGCGTGAAGTGAAACTACGGCTTTGACCACTTCTGTCTCTCTGCCATTACGTCTTCTTTGTTGTTGAACGGGCTGCTGACTGACGAGCATAGATTCAGCGTAATGAAAAGAATCGATAAGGGAATCGTTAAGCATAAAGGCTAATGATGTCGATGAATTGGACCAGTTGGAACCGGTTCTTAACAGGAACCGGTTCTCGATTCCCATCCCTAGTTTTTATGCAGGTAAGTGTAAGCACACATGCACACATATGTATATGCTGATATCCATATTTCATATGATAGAAATGTGTATAATGCCCTGTCATGCACTCTGTAATACAAGCCTGCATTCAGGTACACAAACACTCAGCGCAATGGAGTGTTCTCCTCCATCCTCTAACTGTGTGTTCGCCCCGCAGCCCTCTGGCTATGATTTGTCCAGTTTCCTTTTTAGCTCCAATCAGGCAGACACAGCGCTGCAGACACACACACAAGCTCTCAGACACATAAGCGCGCGCGCACACACACACACACACACACACACACACACACACACACACAGAGCTTCAAGAGGATGGCATTAATCATGTTTGTTCCCATCATACTCCGCAAAATCATCACTTCCCCCACATCTCAGTTTAGTATTCCCCTCTCTGCGATTCCACAGCCAGTTTCCACTCACATGGGCGTCTTGTCAACTTCCAAACACATCGGGGACGCTGCCAAATATACCCCAGTTTTCATCTTATTAAAGGCAGTGTCCACCCAATGTGGAATTTATGAGGCTGGAGTTTACAAAGAAATAAAGCTTAGGGGACAGATTGTAGAAGTTGCACTCCACAAGAACCATTATTTGGAAGTTTGTATGTTGAAAAGTTGTGTCATGGACCCTTGATATCAAATATAGCCATTTTCAGTCTGTTGTGACTTAAAGGATATGTATGGTATGTAGGGCTGTACCCAAATATTCGGATATTCGAATATTCGTTTCTATGGGTAGGTATTCGTTAGGAAAATTTGGTATTCGATATTCGTTTTTGTAATTTATTTATTTACTTATTTTTACATATTTTTTTGGTGCTAAATGTAGTCTTTTTGTTGTTGGTAAATGTAGATTATCAATAAAAATCAAAACTTTGAAATTGCATTGTTAAAAATGTGAAAATAAAGTATAGCCTACCAACTGAGCTTGTGCACGGCACGCTTGAGCGCATCCGTCTGAGGCTGTGGATCAATGCCAAGTTTTACCACTTTATCACTATTCCCTCTAACTTGCAGCTGTTTTTTCATTATCTTTTGAATTTAATATGAATTATGGAACCGTTTTTGTCAACGTTTGTTTCCCCTGTTTTGTACAATAAATTATTGTTTAAAGTTTCAACAAGTTTCTTTTGGAGTGCGTGACACAAGTGTGTTTTGAAAACGACAGCGGACTGTCACCTGCTCAACGCATCAGTACCTTGACAGTAATAGATTATAGATTAATAGATTATAATAATAATGTCAAAATATCATTTACAGACCGATTTAACAGACGATCACTGCTGCCCGACCCGCAGGTCCATTTGTGGGTCCCACAGGTTACGGGTCGACCCGCGCATCACTACTCAGCTCAGTCTATAAAGGCTGTACACACAACAGTAAGGCTATAGACATTATATTCTGTTCAGGCCGGCAGAACCAGCAGCTCATGGACTCTACAGTGCACAGCACTGCTGATTAACCATTTTATTGCAGCACAGCAAACGAATATTTGAATATTCGAATGTTCGAATATTCGTTATAAATTCTGCCGAAGGTCCGAATGTTAAAAAATGGTATTTGGGACAGCCCTGATGGTATGTTTCAACCTGACCGTATTTTCCCATTGGAACAACATTTTCTGAAATTGGTCCAGCATTGGGTGAGAGGACTGTTGCCAGTAGCAGCAAAGCACAATGCAATGTAACCACTCAGGGCAAATGTGCACCACTGATTTTGTTCCACGTGCTTGTTTTGCCACTGACAGGCTCAGATTGTTATTCTTAGTGTTTGAAAACATTACAGAAAGGGTCACTACAGAGATAGACCTTTTTGTTCAAGAGTAAAATCCTTTCTGTTTAACCAGATTACAGCCACAAAACTCTAAGGCTAAACTCACCAGTCTCCATTTAAAAAAAACAGTTAATTAACGTAAAAGACACTTAATTTAAAGTTGACAGAAACAATACAAAACTCACAAAAATCATCTTGGTTTGTCTTTCCACTTTCTAACAATCACCAGCTGTGGTTTGATTTAAAAAATCAAAGTTCAGGGCTGTTTCTGGGTGAAGAAAAAGGATCTTATTCTTCAACAAAATATCTATCGCTGTAGGGATCCTTTCCATAATGTTGTTAGACACTTAGAATAATAATCTGAGCCTGTCAGTGGCAAAAACAAGACATATGGGTCATATGTTACCAGTGATTACACTGCAGCCTGTTTTGAGGCTGCCAGCTGCAGCACTGAACAATTTTTTTCAAGTGTAGTTCCCATTAGTCACTTGAGCACGAAAACAAAGGAAGATAAAGTCAGGGTTGAAAAAACTACTAAAGCTTCTCCTTAAGTCAGTGTTTACATTTACTTTACGATGACACATTTCCACCTGTTAATCAGATGACTGGATCTAGTTTGTAGAAAGTGCCTTCAACATTAAACATGTGCATGTTTTACAGTAATTACAGGGATTATAATTATATGTCTTCTGTAAATCACATCTCCCCGCACTGTGTGGTTATAGTGAGGTAGAATAACACACTAACCAGAGATCAAGCTGAGCTGCACAAGCCCCCAAAGTCAGAAAAGGCAATCTAAGCCCCCAGCATGCTACATCCTGTATTGATTTTACAAACACCCAGCAAGCAGATGTTATTTGGGCTCAGTTATACTCACACATCTTGGAATTCTTCCAGTGTCTTCTGTGGTGTGAATACATTTAAAAGGCCGATTATCTGTTGAAATAAAAAGCACAGTTATTAATCTGTGAGTGTGGAGGGGAGATGAAGGGTTGTAAATGAATGACATCACCATTATCAACTCTGCATCCCTGAACCACCAAGGAACAACTGAGAGGCTCCGACTGCAGCAGCCTGAGCTTTAATAATGAATAACAGGACATTCACTGATTCAAAACACTACATAGAACAGCAGTAGCAGGAAGGAGCGCTGTGGTAATCCACAAGATTCCTGTTTTCGAGATGACCTGTCAATCAACCAAGGTATTGTAATTTGAAATGCAGCCTGACACAGCATAATTTCAGGACACATGAGGACAAAAAAGATGTTCAAACTGATTTAGTTACATTTTCCAGATCTATCCTCAGGGCAAGCTTTGCTCCATCCAAGTGTCCGCTGTTCTATCGGAAATTCACTGCTCCCACATGCTTGTTCATCACATTGCATCTTGATTGATTTAAACTCTGAAACAACCTTTAAACCCAGATATAAGCCTGTCCCCACAGGAGACACACTTATACATAAGACAGAAAAGGTGTCACATCTCATCCCTAATATTAAATAGACATACAGAAAGATTAAAATAACATGCTCAAAAGAACGGAACTTAAGCTCTTACGTTCTTGTGGTTGACACATTTCATTAGCACCAGTTCCCTGTAGGCCCGTTTCGCATGAGTTTGATTCTGAAATGGCCGGCTCAGCTTCTTGATGGCAACGTTCCTCTCCAAGTTGTGGTCATACGCTGAACTGGAGTGAAAAATGAAAGCAAAAACTTGGTCAAAAATAATATGTCAAAAGAATTAAAAAAAACAAACTATGTTTTCTTTTAGTCGCATTTCTCTGAGGATGTTTCACACACACTGATACTTTAACCCCTTGGTTTGTTGGTAGCTGGTTCAACAAGACAAGGTTCAGGACAAGACCTGCTTCCATGCTTTTGAATAAGAATGACACATTTGCTAGAAAGCTAATGTGTGTTGTTTAAAGTTTGTGTGTTGTTTTAAGTTTGTGTGTTTCTTTATGTTTATTCTCAGGCTGCAGTCTGACACTGTCAGTAACTGTCACTGTCAGCCTGTGGTACTGCATAACAGTGATGGTTACTGCATAATAAAAACACATTTAAAAGCAGCATTAAAGTTGAGGCAAAGTAAAAATAAATGTGTTCTGAGTTTGTCATGCGACAGAAAAAATATTTTAAAACCACCCAACCAAATTTGCATGATTAAAAAAAAAAAAAAAATCAACATGTATTTAAAATTAGGATTCAAAATAAGCAGTTTGAAATTAATCAACTCAAGGCCAGTCTTACACATCCAATATGGCAGCGATGGTGACATACTGCAGCAACAGGATGAAGCAGTCTATGCTGAGTCTATCATGTGTGAGGAAATGGTTCAAAGTTATTAATAACTTACAGAAACAATGCATGCAATAGTCCACCTTCCACCTTCACTTTCCCTCTCTCTTTAACACACATGTCACGGCACTCGTCTCTGTCTGTCTCCACCCTAAGTCCTGACAATTGTGCTCGTATATTGCATTAAGTTAAGGGTATGTGTGTCGGGTCTGGATGGTTGATAAACACAAACTTTTGCAGACAGGCTCTCGGAAAATAGGTGATAGCTAGTTCGCAAACTGTAGGCTGTGGTAAGTACGTCTTGTAACTTGCTGTTGAACTGGGAAGAGTTGATCCCTTTCACATACACGTTTGATCTGCTGTTAATTCTAAAATATTTTTAGTAGCTTTAAAATGTTTGTTCAATTCTGTGGCTTTTAAGGCTCTACGCCCACTGAATGTGAAAGAACTAGTTGGACAGTGTGACAATAAAAAGCACTAGTAGCTAGAAATCTTTCTGCCTGTAGATCAGACTTTCCCATATTGTTTAATGCCTTTACACACCGTGGGGCGTGACAAATAAATGACATGAAAATACAAAATGCTCACCTTTAAATATTTTGCCTCAAAACTATTCATATCGGCAGTGTTGCGGATTTGCAACAGTCGCAACATTTGTTCAATAAAAATTTCAAATAGATTTTCTCTGAATGACTGAGTTTTTTCTGGTAAACATTTACACAGTATTTATGTCTAGGACCTTTACTCTGAGAGCCAAGAATTGAGGGATTGGATGTGATATGTGCTGCTGTTGTCAAGGTTGAGTGTGCCATCTTGGTTTGGACTACCGAGCCTCCATGTATTTGTCTGTGGATGCTACTCAACATGATGTCATTGAGTTCTTTTTATCATTTTTTGGATCCTTTGTCATATAATAGAGAGTGCTGAGAAATATAATTGATCAACAGGTTCACCATTGTCATGACGTTGTGACGTGATGTCCTTTCAATGTAATTGGTTGTTGCCTTCCCTGGGTTAAAAAAAATATATTGATGTGCAATTTTAATGGCACAAAAAAATGCCCCTGGTGTGTTAAGGCCTTTACACTGACAATATACAGTATTAAATATGTCTGTCTGTATTAGAGCAGTGTAGGCAAATCAATGAGCAATACTGCTTTATGGCAATTTACAGTACTGTAGAGAATGTGCTATATATCGCAGTATAAAAACATTGTTAAAGATCTTTACTGAATGTTATCCACATTGCTAAGTCCTAGGGGGAACAAAAAATCAGAGACACCTTGCAACATTACAATGCTGTGGTATTTCACTGTATTTTACTGTACATGGGTTTTTAATTTTTCTGGTCACTCAGCATGTTTCTGTTTAGTAACACTGTTACAATAGAAAGCTGGTAAGTTCCCCTATGTGATGGAGCTGTGACAATGTGCGGACTCCACGACAAACATTTATATATCTTTTTAACAAAAATCTTGAGGATCCCTCACAGTTAGAGCTGACGTAAGAGAAGCATGTTGGATGTTGATATTTGACCAGCAATTCCTCACATAATGAAAAGCCTTGACTGATCCTCATGTGTATCACTTTCTGGGCATCCCCTACCTGGTATGAGGACCAGAGAAGATCGATGACAGCAAAGAACTTAAAGGAGCTCATCCTACTTTGCTCATGTTACAACAACTGGACCCGGATTATCTGGAACTTCCCCTTTTGGCCATTAATAAATAAAAATGATCGTCTAATCAATCCACTGGAATGATGAATATGTAAACAATGCCATCATGGCACAAGTGATACGATATCATTACATACAGAAGCTAATCCTCACATGGACTTGAGTGATCCTGGGGTTCAGATTCAAATTTATTTTAGCATCCACATTCCCTGTACTCCTCTCACTTCTATAGAAATCCCACACACAACACCACACTGCACTGTCAACAAATACTTCATTATGCATCAATTTCTGTGTTGTATGCAACTTATGCTGATATTGTAACGTCTGATCTCATCAACTTTCAAAGCCGACAGCTGGCAAAGTCTGAGCGCTGCATCAGTAGCTTTCATCAAATGTTCCCTCAACTGACAGTTCCTATATGGAATATTTACTTCTGCAGTTTCACCCCTTTCTGACTGATAAATAAAGATTGTTTTAGACATGTGAAACTTTTTTTTCAGGGCTTACAAACACATCTCACAGAGTTTGCCTAACTAGGAAAACACCAGCCACTAATAAAGACCATGAAGTGCAGTTTATTTTGTTGAAAGACTATTTCAAAGATCAAGACATCTTTTTAAATATTAGGATTTCTTCCTTTGACTCACCAGACAATTCCCTGTGCTCCGGATCCGATGGGTCTGAGGTTCTGGTAGCGCTTTAAAACCATAAAAGTTGAATCGCCCACATCTATACTGTAGTACTCCTTTTCACGCTTGTTCCGGTTCATGGTGAAGCCTTGGACGAACGCTATGACTGGGCATTCAAGTGGAGCTCGCAAGACCTGCAGTGCGTAAAGAGAAAGAGAGGTTGTCATTTTTTCAGCACTTTCCAACATCTGATTTCACACTTTTCTTCAAGCTGCCAAAACATCCACACAAAACTAAACAGGGATTTCCAAAACACTGATAAGGCATTTTTTATATACTGTATGCTTTCCAATTGGTAAAAATGTGACTTTGTCAATTTTGTCAGAAAATGCAGGTGAACCACTATTCTTGTCAGCGTGGGATAATATCATTCATTTTCGATAACAAGTATTTTATAAGGGTAAATTTGGAGTGAATCATGATTGAATTTTGTAACAAATGTCTCTAATTGTGGCAGTGTCAAACTCTGTCCATCACTCCAGCATGAGTGCCGAAAACTGCACTTCCTCAAATGGCCACTTGAGGCTGGCGAGTCAATCCCCAAAGGTTGACTGTTAAAATGCCCAATTTAACAGGAGAAATAAACATGTTTACAGCCTGGGATGAAAAACAGATTTGGTAGGGATGTCCCGATCCAGCTTTTTCACTTCCGATCCGATACCGATATTACAGCCTTGAGTTTTGGCCGATACCGATCCGATCCAAGCGCGTATTATACATATTCACTTATTTTGTTGTCAGTCATGTTAGAAAAGGTTTGATCAAGCAATATTACTCTAACAAGAACAACTACTTAATCAGGTTAGTTAGAATGATCCACAACAGTTAGTATGAGAAACTGACCTGTTTATTGTTAACAGGGTTAAATAAACAAACTTTAAACTTGAACATTAACATTAAATAAAAAAAAATAGCTGGTTTGCTTTGGCTGCTTTGGCCCCTTAATAAATAGAAAATAAATCAACGCAAGAAATCTTTAAAATGTCTAACACTGAAATTAAAATAGCAGCAAGACTCCACACACTTGTGCTTTGCCCCCCTAATAAATAAAAAAAAGATTAACACCACAAGACATTGTTG